TTTGCTTGAAGCGTAAGAGGAGCACAAATGAACATTATTAACTTAATTATATGATGATTAAGTTGATACGTATAAGGTTTGAAATGGCGGTCAATGAAAACGTTGACCGATGGATATTGGATTAATTGATACCGGATGGTATTAGTTAATTATGAATTTATATAAACGCAAGGCTTTGCATGGATTGTGATACATAAGCTTTATGTTTTGATTTAGCTATGAATGAATAAATATGATATAGACCCTATCTAGGTTGATAGGAGGTTGATCATAGGATTATAAATTGGTGGAGGACCCTAGGACTTAAATTCCTTAACACTCATATTTTGGTGGAGGACCCTAGGACTTAAAAGTCCTTAACACTCATATTTTGGTGGAGGACCCTAGGACTTAAAAGTCCTTAACACTCATATTTTGGTGGAGGACCCTAGGACGTAAAGTCCTTAACACTCGGATTATAAATTGGTGGAGGACCCTAGGACTTAAAGTCCTTAACACTCGGATAATAAATTGGTGGAGGACCCTAGAACTAAAAGTCCTTAACACTCAAATACAAATTTAGTGGAGTACCCAAGGATTTTGATCCTCAAAACTCATAGATTATGATATTGAAGTATGGAAAAGGAGGAGTCCTATACACTCATAGGCATATGGGTGGGTTGGGGTTTTTAGTCAAGGATATTGACTATTAATATTTTCCCAAATAAAACGGTGATCTACGGATCGGGTATTTTCCAAGTGTATATGTACTACTAAGTATTTCTTAACTTGGGGGGAAAGACTATTTACATAAGTATCACCCTATGTTTGGGTCTTATACTTGAAACGTTAGTTATTCTATATTAATCCTGCTACTCATTCGGTACGTGTACTGACCCCTTCGGGGGGGCCCACCATTTCAGGTTGAAGTTATGGCTTGTCATCTACACCTTTGCACGGGTGAACAGAATCCAGAGGAAGACGTGGTTCGTGCTCCCTCTACCATTTCAAAAGATAAACTATGCCCATGGATACTTTTGTATTAATACATTGTTTTGGTCTGCGAGCCTACATTTTGGCCATGTGTGGCCCACAAGTGATTATTGAATATTTCCACTATTCAACTAATCTAAACTGTGATGTTGTTGTGTATGTTTACTACTGAGTATGTATATATATTATGTTCATGGACGCCTTGTGTGGTTAAGACACGTTGACTTGCGAGTGGCGTTACTTGGTCATACGGCGGTTGTACACGCGCCTAGATGCGGTATGGGGCGTGACAATTAAGTGGTATCGGAGCCATCTCAGTTCTAAACTATGTAATCAACCTCTCACGAGAGATTTTGCAAAAAGGAATTTTTACCGAAAACCATGAGCATTGTATTTTGACGTTCATAGAACTATTGTTACCTAGGTTGCAAGGTCTCTAATTGTTAAGATGGTACCCTTAACAATTGGTATGGCGGTGAGTTGGACCAATTTGTGTCTATAACGTTCTTCCGTCAATTGACATTGATAGGAGTCTAACGACTCGTCCAAAACTCATTTCAGAAATGGAGGGTAGGCGAATGGCAACGAGGAACAATCTGAGGGGGCAGGCACCGGTAACATCCATGAGGGGTAGCCGGGCTGCATGTCGGGGGAGAAGAAAAGGCCGAGTAGGCTGTGGGGGCCACCGGGCCAAAACAGTGAGCGACGACCACATAAGCTCGGAGTTTGAAACTAACACTGAGGACTATGACTCGACTTTTGTTCCCGACATGGAGCATGAGGAGACCTCGTATGACGGGGGTGACTTCCACACTGATGAGGAAGACAACGATGAGAGTGATGTCTGATTCGCTCAAATGGGCGAATTGCTTGAGTGGTATCAAAAAGAGAAACTAAGGAGAGACCTTAGGCGCCAAGCAAGGCAAGGCTCTCATGGTGGTTTGGTTCAAGGAAGCCGGGGAGCTTCAAGGGCCACTCCAGAGGCGTCACAAGGTGGGCATGAAGGAGGGTTTTGTGTGAGAATCTCCAATTACCTCAAGGAGGCTAGGGCCTTGGGGTGTAAATCCTTCGACGGCACCGGTGACATTACCGTTGCCGCCGATTGGATCAAGAAAGTGAAGGATGCATCAAGGGATATGAAGGTCACACCCGACTTGAAATTGACTGTTGCTTCACATTTTCTTGAAGGAATCGCTTCTACATGGTGGGAGAGTGTAGAAGGAAAGTACCGCGGGGGCATCACATGGGCGAACTTCGAGCAGGAGTTCTACGCCCAATACTACTCCAATTACGAGGTTAATGTCAAGCGTAGGGAGTACACCAACCTTAAACAGAAGAGGGTGGTTATGTCAAGCAATTGGAGCAAGATTTTAGAACCTTGGCTAGGTTCTTGCCAGAATACGCGGTCAATGAGGACCGCATGTCGGAACACTTTTGGGATGCCTTACTCCTGGACATCCGTGAGCGAGCTACGTACTCTTGTCATATGAATTTTAGCAAGGTGGTGGAACAGGGCCTACTTGGGGAGGCTCAGTGGAATGAGAGGAAAGAAAGAGACGCCAAAGAGGCGAAAAAGAGAAAGTGGCATAGTTCGGGGCTGCCCGAGCAATCACGAAAGAATAACAATGGTGTGAGTAGTGGTTCGTTTAAGACGCCGACACCACCGCCGTATTACGAACCATTGCATCACCCAACCGGTGATGCCCGCCCGAAGCGAGCCAACCAGTACATGCCACGTGGACGCCTTCTCCAACGGTCATATCCCAACGGTCATCTTTCGATGACTGCTCCCAACAATTATGCCCTCAGATCACAAGCGGCCTTCGACCTCTCAGTGTTGCCGCCCTCAGATCACAAACGGCCTTCAACCTCTCAGTGTTGCCGCCCTCAAATCACAAGCGGCCTTCGACCTCTCAGTGTTGCCACCCTCAGATCACAAGCGGCCTTCGACCTCTCAGTGCCGCCGCCCTCATATCACAAGCGGCCTTCGACCTCTCAGTCCCGCCGCCCTCAGATCACGAATGGCCCCTCGGCCCCAGCGTGATCCTTCATCTCAGGCCGAAGGGTTCACCCCTCTTGCTTCATTTTAGGGGCATCCGGTGTACTCTTTTTCCCTCCTTAGGATTTTTTCGCATAGGGTTTTTTCCTAATGAGGTTTTTAACGAGGCATCTCCCCATTGTGAACCAAAAGACGTCAGCCCTCGGCTCTCTATTAAAGATTTAAAGACATGCATTACTCTACTCCTTTTCACCCTATTACATGAGTCTCAAGGAGTGGGGGAATGGGGAACCCCTTCGGGGAATCACAAAAGTTAAAAGTTTTTTCAAAAACATCAACAACAACCTTCATTCTCAAAATGTGGGGGACTGGGGAACTCCCCCTCGGCAAAACATGCAAACGCAAATCTTTCACTACTTTACAAACTACAACAAAGCAGCCACCGACGACTTCACAACATCTACTCCTATTTCCTTCGAGAAGCTCTCAGCAAAAGGAGTGGGGGACTCCTGATGGAGTATATGGCCAGGAACCCCCGGCCCACATACTTCCACTACTACAGCCAGGCCCAACAGGCCCAAGCAGCCCGAATACAGCAAGCAAGACTCCGGACAGCCCATACTGCAGCAAGTTACTGCCTTCGACCCCATGGCCGAAGGCCACACATATTCGGCAAACGTTTACACTTGGTCGACTAATGTCTCTGGGAAATTCAGGCTGAGATTGCGTGCACCCTTCGGTATTTACAGCCTTCAGCATATACACAGCCTTCAACTCATACATAGCCTTTGGTACAAGCCCCCCCCCCCCCCCCCCCCCCGAGTGCATGTAACCAAAGTCATTCTCCTCGACAGGATCTCCCCTCCACATACATGCTTTGGATCACCGCATTGAATGCGAACGTCACACCCAAATCACCGCATTAAATGCAGCCACATGGTATGTCGGCACCACCCAGGCTGAATTGACCCTCCATTGCTGGTTGCTTGACATGTATACCCTCGTTGATTAGACCTAGCATTTATGGCTACTATAAATATCAGTCATTTTCCATTGTAATCGACACACAACTTTTATATCGAATACATACTCACTAACTCTCTTAGTTGTTCTGACCGCTCTCTTGATATTTCTCATAATATCCCTCGGATAAGCTACCCCCGGGTACACTATCCATCAACGCACTAATCTACTACAATAATAATTTTGAATTTGGGACAAGGAAACGAAACGAGACATATTTGACTTGTCTCGATCCCATTTTGTTCTGAAAGAGTTCGATAAAGGAACGAGACAAAAATAGTTTGGCCCGAATTTAACGAGACAATTTCGGAATAGAACTAGAATGTTCCGAAACGGGCCAATGAGACTAGGACTTTTGCCCAGCTCTAATGTAAATTTTCTTTTATTTACTTGCATCTGTTCTGGTCCTTCACTGTATCCTTCCACCCTCCTTTTTCAACCTTAAATGTTTGGGTTTTTGTTCATATTTTCAGGTTGGGTGACTCAGTTATCCAAGGGGTGCGGGTGCAACTGTGCAAGTGATCAGGAACCAGCTGGTACCAAATCGGAACTTGCCCGAGTTCACCCACACTCTAGCAAATGTCTCCCAGTAACTGCCGTTACAAATTCAAACCCCATACCTCTTTATGTTCATAATAATAATGGTATTCAACTACCTACACGCTATGTGAAACAGCATTTTCAAGACCGGACCATTGTGTGAATCACAAACGAAACGACACCTTCATCATCCCACCTTGCAAAATCTGTCAAGCTTAAATTACTTCCCAGTTCCCAATTCCCATACACTCCTCCTTAAGTTGTTACCCACCCTGTGTGAAAAAGAGGAGTCTGCAAAATAAATTAGCTCTAGCTGACATTTTTTTTTTAAATTGCTCATGTTTAGGAGTAGAGCTATGTTTTGTTCATACTTTATTTTCTTCTAGAGTATTAAGTGCATGATTTATCATGACACAGGATTTCTTTACGCATGTTTTGAAGCACATGACCTAATGCATTGAATTTGTATATCGTAGGAGATTTGACTTCGAAGCGGCAAGTGTTGAAAATTTTAAATTAGGCACCTGTGCTTTATTATGCTTTTCAAACAAATCAGTTTTACACACGTAACTGTTTACAGCGGGGCACCATAGTTAGCAAGATCAAATCATGGTTTGCTAAGCCCAACAAAAAGCCTACTACTGCACATAACATGACCCTGGACCTGTTGGAGCGCTCCTCGCGTAATTATTGGTAACGGGAGCAGCTTGAACCCCTCGCCTTGTCAACAGGCATCTGAAATATTCCAACCTCTGTAATGCTACAGATGTTTTACTCCCTGAAGCTCCTGTCTTCTTATAGCTCCATAAACGCTCTACAATTGAAAAATGCAAATTATTCCAAAATATCAATATCTCGTAATGATATCACGTTTTCAATACATAATACATACTTGTGTCAATATATATGTGTGTGTGGGCGTGCGTATGTCTAGACCTTTTTAACCGGCCTTCCGAGCTTTTGTTTACTGCTGTCAAATGCTAAAAGAAATGGCCCACACAAAAGTGATGGCCATTTTATGTAAGGTAGTTGAGACCCCTTATCTTTTCTACACATGCATAATTCAAGTACAATATTCAATCTAAAGTGCTGATTTTAGGCCAAATCATTAGGGTCCTGTTGGGTATGGGTAAACATTTGTCTTAGAAAGATTCAAGTAGTTGCATGGTCTGAATTCACAAAACTTTTGCCTTAACAAGAAGAAGAATTATCTAAAAATATACTACGTACTACATAATTTTGCAAAAGATTTTCTATTTTTTAGAATAAGATATCTAAAACTGAAAGTTGAAGTGGGATTTCCTTTCATTTCATCCAGAAATGTAACATCTGCACTACTTTTTTCATAATGAGATGTTTGTAAAAATAATAGTACTCCGTATATGTTAGTGTTTGGTAGAAAATCTGATTAATAAGGAAAATAAGAAGAAAAATCTGGCACCAAATGAGCACCAGTTCAGTATAAAATCCTCCAATCCTAACCTGCTGCAGCTGCAGCACGTGGCCATATGGTTTCTTGAACATTTGAGGAATCAGCGGTTTCCCCCCACATGCACACTTCTCCTCCAAGCACGAGTTTTTGCTGTTCAGTATCATTTATATCTTCCAAAGGATCTGCAAAATAAACCTCATCCCAGGGAACATCTAGATGGTCAAGATACCAGACACCTTGGTTGCTATAAATGCATCTGAAGTTTTTAGCAACAGCCTTTGGACAGACCCCAGACCTCAACCTATGCCAATCGTATATAATATGGTCACAAATCTGATGGGAAAAGGGGCAAATAAGCCCACGTACTAACCAAAAAAGGTCAAATAAGCCCTTATATAGGAGGCTCTGTCCGGATGTCGTCATTTGGGGCAGTTCCCGATGGAATTTTCTGATGAAATTTTTTGAGAATCTTATTCATTAAGTCTAGTTTACTCATACCAAATTTCAGCTAACAATTCAATCGGGAAGGCATTCAAATAAATTCTTGAAGATAACTGTGCTTTTAACTGCGCAGTTATCTTCAAGAATTCATTTGAATGCCTTCCCGATTGAAGTTTTAGCTGAAATTTGGTATGAGTAAACTAGACTTAATGAATAATATGCTAAAAAAATTGCATCAAAATTTTCCAACGGGAACCGCCCCAAATGACGACGGCCAGGCATAGCCTCCTATATAAGGGCTTATTTGACCTTTTTTGGTTAGTACGTGGGTTTATTTGCCCCTTTTCTCCAAATCTGATTGCAGTGAACTGAGAAAACCATAATGGAGTTTGATAAAGCGCACAGAGTCAGTATGTACCCACCAATTATGCACCACTGTCTGTGGGTTGAGTCTGGATGCAAATGCGTTAAAGGTTTCCTCCCTGCAAATAAAAAATTTATGTAACATTCAAATAGAAATCTAGTACAAAGATTTAGAGAATATCAAGAAGTTTTTGCTACAGAGTAGTTTACGTAATGGAAGAAATATCTGACGTCGAGATTGTCAATTTTTTTTTTACTTTGATGACATACCAGTTGACAGGTGTCCAGTTCTGAGATATTGCTATTTCTTGACCTCTGAGCACAAAATATTGATATGCATCATTAGGGGTCATATTATGATCTTCAAGCCTGCATGTATAATGTACAGTTATGATTGGAATTGCACAAGAGGCAAACTGATAAGTAGAGCAATTTCTGCAGAGTTAATGATTCAGAGCTGTGACGGGAAAATGGTGTAAAAAATTGGAGCATCTTCTATATTGAACATGCAAATTGCTTCGGTAATACTTGAAACTCTTGTGTATAAAGGGAAGATTAAAGTAAAATAGAGTTCTAACGATATTATGGTAAAACCCTTTTAAACATCATATCCGTATTAATACATAGCATTGTGCATAATCTTATGGTGCGCAAGATGTAAGAGAAACATACCATTGCTTCACATGCGGAGTAGAGTTCCAACAATCTGCAAAAAGAGATGTGCATGTTGTTTAGAACAACTTACTTTCCTTGATCCTGTCTTAAAGTGGTCAGTCTAGTTTAACCATACCAAATTTCAGCCAAAAATTCAACCGGGAAGACGGTCAAATGATTTTCCGAAATGTACTGCGCTGTTTAACTTCGCATTTATCTTCAAAAAATCATTTGATTGCCTTCCCGGTTGAATTTTTAGCTAAAATTTGGTATGAGTAAACTAGACTTAATGAAGAAGATGCTCAAAAAATTTCATCAAAAAATTCCACCGGGAACCGGCCCAATTGGCGACGGACAGGCAGAACCTCCTATATAAGGGGCTAATTGAACACTTTAAGTCAGTTCAAGGACCTACTTGACCCTTTAGCCATTATTTTACTTTATTTTTCCCTCTTCCCCAAGAGCTGGGATGGAGCTAAATTACTACACATGACACGGAAATACAGTGATCCAATTACTGGTGATGCTTTTCCGGCTCTGTGGGTGTTGTCATGTACATCCTGAACAGTGAGGAAGGAACAAAGGAAAAAGAAGCAAAAAGACAAGGATCTCCCAAAAAGGGAAAAAGAAAAAATATAACTTCTATAGACTAACCTGTATGGACCTCATCACCACCCAAATGAAAGAGCTCAAATGGAAATATTTTCCTCATGTCTGCCACAAGAGAAATAGCATCCACAGCGTCAAAATGACATGAAAGAGGAGAAAAATTGGGCATTCTACGCATTAATATATTTCCATAAAGACTTAAAACCCATGAAAACCCGACTTTGAAATAGAAATCAGAAAGACTTATTTCTCAAAATAGTAATGTACCGACAAGTGTAAAGCGCAAAAAAAATGGGATAGTAACATATTTACAATAAGTGTTTCGAAATGTAGAACTTTTAAATGAAACCAATGGGCATAACCTGCCAGGATTCCTGATACCACATCAAAAGTAAAGTTTTTGGAAACATCCAAAGGCTCTCTACAAGTAGGTGAAGGCCAAAGATCAGGATATCCTTTGCCCCTGCAATAAAAGAACAAGAGGAAACAAAAATATAGTGTTGATTGTTTGATGAAGAAAAACATCCACTATGCTATGAGCATCTCAGTAACTCAGTTTCAGATTATGAAGCAACACTACCCTTCTTCACAAAACAACATTTAAGGCAATCAAATATGAGCTCAACTTTTTATGTCTGTAACCCTACAAACACGGGACATATATAGAGAGAAATTTCCTATAGGAGTAAACACAGGAAATTTACTCAAATAGGATCACCGTTGTTTTCTTACCAAAATAGGAGTCATTCACTCCTAAAAGAGGAAAATTAATATAAACAAACAATAACAATCAACGGAAATAACCGTTGCCAAAGCTTGAGAGCTTAAACACACAAATTCGTATTTAATAAAGCCTGCTTTGAAATAACCCTCTTGAGGGGATTAAATAGACTACAAGTCCTAATTAAAGAAAAACTCCAAAATAACCTAAACTAGGAAATAAACTGGAATTAGGAGACTTATTAAAAAAACAATACTAATTAATTAATTAATAAACAATCCAATTAATTCTTCCAGCCAGCCTAACCCATGGATGTGGGCTTTTCCCGATCCTGCCTGCGATACACGATCCAAGGCCTGGGGCCTTCGTCTTCCTCGGTCGCACTCGACTGTCTTTCTTCTTCCTCGGTCGAGCGAGCCTGCTCGCTATCAAATTCACCCTCCTTGGAAAGAACCTTGTCCTCAAGGTTGAAATCAGGAAACTGACTCGAAAAGCTTGCTTTGTTCACCCAAGTTGCCTCGTCTGTAGACTGTCCAGCCCATTTAACCAACAACTCCTCTTCCTTGTCATCTTTTTTTCTGGTAGCTAAAATGTCCTCAGGTTCAAACACTGGTCCTACGGGCAGTTCCAAGCTTTCGGGTAACTCATTTTCCACAGGGTGATCACCGACTACCTTTCGCAGCTGTGAAACATGGAAGACCGGATGGATACGGCTGGTTGCTGGCAGTGTCAAGCGGTAGGCTGCCTTCCCAATGCGTGCTTCAATCACAAATGGCCCATAGAACTTTGCAGATAGCTTATGGTATGATTGGCTGGACAGAGTTGTTTGCCGATGAGGCCTGACCTTTAGAAACACTTTATCTCCAACCTGGAATTCCACGTCGCGGCGGTGTTTATTTGCTTGGGTTGCCATGCTTTGTTGTGCCTTTTGTAGATTCTCTTTTAACCGCCTTAACATCATATCCCTGCTACCCAACTCATCTGTTACGGCTGCCACTCTGCTTTCTCCAGGTATAAACCTCCGAATCGTTGGGGGTGGCCGGCCATATACCACCTCGAATGGAGAGAGTCGAGCTGCCGTCTGGAATGCAGTATTATACCAATATTCTGCCCAATTTATCCAACGTATCCACTGTCTCGGCTGCTCACTGGTGAAACAACGCAGATAGGTTTCCAACACCCGGTTCAAAACTTCAGTCTGCCCATCGGTCTCCGGATGATATGCCGAACTAAACTTCAGCTGTGTACCGGACAGATTAAATAATTCCTTCCAGAATGCACTAACAAAAAGTGAGTCCCGGTCACTTACGATTGAGCGTGGAATGCCATGCAACCTCACCACTTCTTTGGAGAACACCTCAGCCACGGAGCGGGCTGTTATGGGGCATTTTAGAGGAATGAAGTGCCCATATTTCGACAATCTATCCACCACCACTAGAATTGTTGTAAAACCTTTTGACTTTGGCAAACCGGTGATGAAATCCATAGAAATATCCTCCCAAATTAAGTTGGGAATAGGTAATGGCTGAAGTAACCCCGCAGGTGATAAAGTCTCATATTTAGCCTTTTGACAAACTAAACATTGCGCAACATAATCTCGTACCTGTCTGAACATCCCCTTCCAGCAGACATTCATTGCAAGTCTTCTATATGTCCGATAAGCCCCTGCATGACCTCCTGAAGGCGTCGAATGAAATTCCTCTATTAACTTTGGAATCCACCGGGAACCTACGGGCAGCACCAAGCGACCCTTGTAAAACAGCCGCTGTCCAATTACCTCGTAACCGACTACTCTTGCTGGATCTACAGCCACGGTTTCCCAGATTTTCTTTAAAGCCTCATCCTTTTGCTGTTCTTCCACTATGTCGGCCAAACCCATCCATTCAGGAATACTGATTGCGGCTAATTCCCCTTCCTCTCCTCGTCTGGACAAAGCGTCTGCTGCTCTGTTAGAAACACCGGTCTTGTATTCGATCTCAAAATCATAACCTAAGAACTTTGCCACCCAAACTTGCTGAGATGGAGTGGCTATGCGCTGAGTGAGCAAATGCTTGAGGCTTCGATGATCAGTCCGTACTAAGAATTTTCTTCCAATCAAATATGGACGCCAATGCTGCACGGCCAAAGCCAAACCCATCATCTCTCTCTCATAGGCGGATTTAGTCAGGGTACGGTCAGCTAACGATTTGCTAAAGTAAGCAATTGGTCTTCGTTCCTGCATAAGAACCGCTCCAACCCCTATCCCCGATGCATCACATTCTACCACAAATAGGCGGTCAAACTGGGGCATGGCTAGCACAGGTGCTTCGGTCATGGCCTTCTGAAGTTGGCGGAAAGCCTTCTCGGCCTTTTCAGTCCACTCAAAACGAGTCAAAGCTTCCTTTTTTAAAAGATCCGTAAGAGGTCGTGCAATCAGTCCGTATTCTCTCACGAACCTTCTGTAATAACCAGTCAATCCTAGAAACCCCCGGACCTCTCGGGCCGTCTTCGGTCGAGGCCAATTTACCACCGCACTGACTTTGGCCGGATCCATGGCTACTCCTGCTTGAGAGATGATGTGACCGAGGTACTCCACCTGTGGTTGTCCGAAAGCACACTTCTTTTTATTTGCTCTGAACTGATTCTTCCCCAGGATTTCTAATACTTGGTCTAATTGTTCTCGGTGTTTGGCCCATGATTTGCTGTACACCAAGATGTCATCAAAAAACACCAGTACAAATTTCCGCAAATAAGGTCTAAATAAATCATTCATGACGGCTTGGAAAGTTGCTGGTGCATTGGTCAGCCCAAATGGCATTACCAAAAATTCATAATGCCCACTGTGAGTCCGGAAGGCGGTTTTGTGGATGTCTGGTTCTGCCACCCTAATCTGGTGATACCCGGAACGCAAATCGATCTTAGAAAAGACCACAGCCCCTGCCAACTCGTCTAACATCTCCTGGATCACCGGAATAGGGTACTTATCCGCCACTGTTGATTTATTCAGTTCCCTATAATCCACACAAAACCGCCAGCTGCCATCTTTCTTCTTTACCAACAGAACTGGACTGGAGAATGGACTGGAACTGGGTTGAATGATGCCGGTCTGAAGCATCTCATCAACTAATCTCTCAATCTCATCCTTCTGTAGATGACCGTACCGATATGGCCGTACGGAAACTGGTTTTGCCCCGGAAACCAGCTCGATGCGGTGATCCCTAGTGCTATATGGTGGCAGCCCCTGTAATTCAGTGAATACTTCCGTATGTCGGCTGAGAATGTCCTCCAATGATTCCATTGATGCCCTCGCTGTTTTGCCGGTTTCCCTGACGAGGACAACCGCACTAAACTCTCTATCGACTGTTTTAAGAAGAGTCCTCAAACTGACAGCATTCTTACTCATTGCTGGATCTCCCCGCAATTCTACCTGCTTGCCATTAAGTTTGAACTGCATGATTAATTCCTTCCAATTGGTTCGCACTTCTCCCAATGTTGCCAGCCAAGCCACGCCTAGTATAAGGTCCACTCCAGCCAGGGGAAAGACAAAACAATCCGTTTTGATAGCACATCCTGGTAAGTTAATGGAGAGTTGACGGCATACTCCTTCAGATTCTTGTCGGTGCCCATCCCCCAATTGTACTCCGAATCTTCCAGTCTTATCCTTTCTAAGGCGTAATAGAGATACCAAAGAAGAAGATACAAAATTATGACTGGCACCGCTGTCAATTAATATTGTGGCCGTGCACCCTCCAATCGTTCCGCGGAGCCGCATAGTCTGGGGGCTGAAAATTCCGGCCATAGCATAGACCGGAAAATCGCCCTCCTGTCCCTCGGGAGAGTCATCGTCGGGTGGGAATTCCTCCTGTCCTGCTATGTCGCAATAATCATGTTGTTGTAGGTCCAACTCTTCGTCTTCATCCACCAGTATCACCCGTAATTGTTTTAACGGGCATTCGTGTCCTGGAGAGTAGGGCTTCCGACATTTGAAGCATAGTCCTCTGGCGCGTAAATCATCGTAAACCTTTGGGGGTATTCGAGTGAATCTGGAACGTTCTGTGGGCTGCCCAGATGTTCCGGTAGTAGTCCCGGCGACTGGTGGTGTGGAACCCGCTGTGGGTCCCATGGGCCGAGACATGCTGCTCCCAAAATTTCGTGCGCTTCCACTGGCGGTGGCCGAGAGAGAAACCGTGTTTGGTCGTGGATAACTGCTACTTCGTGATCCTGTGGAATTGTAACCCGATCCTCCTTTTCCTCCGCTCTGAATGATCAGTTTATGTTCAACGCCAAGGGCCAACTCCATGGCCGTTTCTAAACAATCCGGACGAAGTAAACGCAGCGAACATTTAATTTCTTCTTTCAGCCCGTTCATATAATATCCCATATAATGATCGTCCGATAACCCCGGAACTTGGCTTGCCAACTGGACAAAAAGAGTATTGTAATCTTCTACCGTTCCTCCTTGCTTGACTCCGGATAGACGTTCAAAACGGTTTCCCTGGTATCGGGAATCAAATCTAGTCACCAGGGCTTGTTTGAAATCTTCCCAGCATATATTGGGTTTGCGTGATCTCAGCCACGTAATCCAGTAAAGCGCTCCCCCTTCCATGGCTACCATAGCGGCAGCCACTTTCCGATCCGGTGGAATCGCCTGCAACTCGAACTGCTGCTCCACCCGAGCTAACCACCCAATCGGGTCCCCCCCATCGAACGTGGGTAGTGGCGTTGGCATGGAATTGCGCCCTTCCCCGTTGATTGTTGGCACGGTCAGCGCGCCGATGTTAGCGCCTACCGCGTCGATAGCCGGTGATTTAGGTGGTGTCAACGCCTTCGTTATTGCGGCCAGCGACGACACGATTTCTTCCAGCTTCGCACCGTGTTCACCGAGCGTAAGGGTCATGGATTCGAGCTTCGTGCTATGGTCGTCAAGGGTCTGGTTCATTCGGATCTGTTCGGCCCCCAATCGGGCCACTTCTTCTCCAACGCGACTTTGTTCATTCTCCAATTCTTGCAAACGTTCACTTTGAGTTCTTGTCATGGTGGCGGGACGGGATCCGGCAGGTCGGACCAAATTAATATAAACAAACAATAACAATCAACGGAAATAACCGTTGCCAAAGCTTGAGAGCTTAAACACACAAATTCGTATTTAATAAAGCCTGCTTTGAAATAACCCTCTTGAGGGGATTAAATAGACTACAAGTCCTAATTAAAGAAAAACTCCAAAATAACCTAAACTAGGAAATAAACTGGAATTAGGAGACTTATTAAAAAAACAATACTAATTAATTAATTAATAAACAATCCAATTAATTCTTCCAGCCAGCCTAACCAACGGATGTGGGCTTTTCCCGATCCCGCCTGCGATACACGATCCAAGGCCTGGGGCCTTCGTCTTCCTCGGTCGCACTCGACTGTCTTTCTTCTTCCTCGGTCGAGCGAGCCTGCTCGCTATCAAAATTGTATTGTTTTATTCTATTATTGTGACTAATGAAGTCCTATTTTACATAATTAATCCTTGTTGGGCCGCGGGTATGCGGTGCCAGCAATCTGCCAGCCTACCGGTGCAATCGAACTGCGTAGCGCTTCGCTTGTGCTATAAAGGGGAAGGAGCGTGCTTCACTATAAAGGGGAAGAAGATACAAAATTATGACTGGCACCGCTGTCAATTAATATTGTGGCCGTGCACCCTCCAATCGTTCCGCGGAGCCGCATAGTCTGGGGGCTGAAAATTCCGGCCATAGCATAGACCGGAAAATCGCCCTCCTGTCCCTCGGGAGAGTCATCGTCGGGTGGGAATTCCTCCTGTCCTGCTATGTCGCAATAATCATGTTGTTGTAGGTCCAACTCTTCGTCTTCATCCACCAGTATCACCCGTAATTGTTTTAACGGGCATTCGTGTCCTGGAGAGTAGGGCTTCCGACATTTGAAGCATAGTCCTCTGGCGCGTAAATCATCGTAAACCTTTGGGGGTATTCGAGTGAATCTGGAACATTCTGTGGGCTGCCCAGATGTTCCGGTAGTAGTCCCGGCGACTGGTGGTGTGGAACCCGCTGTGGGTCCCATGGGCCGAGACATGCTGCTCCCAAAATTTCGTGCGCTTCCACTGGCGGTGGCCGAGAGAGAAACCGTGTTTGGTCGTGGATAACTGCTACTTCGTGATCCTGTGGAATTGTAACCCGATCCTCCTTTTCCTCCGCTCTGAATGATCAGTTTATGTTCAACGCCAAGGGCCAACTCCATGGCCGTTTCTAAACAATCCGGACGAAGTAAACGCAGCGAACATTTAATTTCTTCTTTCAGCCCGTTCATATAATATCCCATATAATGATCGTCCGATAACCCCGGAACTTGGCTTGCCAACTGGACAAAAAGAGTATTGTAATCTTCTACCGTTCCTCCTTGCTTGACTCCGGATAGACGTTCAAAACGGTTTCCCTGGTATCGGGAATCAAATCTAGTCACCAGGGCTTGTTTGAAATCTTCCCAGCATATATTGGGTTTGCGTGATCTCAGCCACGTAATCCAGTAAAGCGCTCCCCCTTCCATGGCTACCATAGCGGCAGCCACTTTCCGATCCGGTGGAATCGCCTGCAACTCGAACTGCTGCTCCACCCGAGCTAACCACCCAATCGGGTCCCCCCCATCGAACGTGGGTAGTGGCGTTGGCATGGAATTGCGCCCTTCCCCGTTGATTGTTGGCACGGTCAGCGCGCCGATGTTAGCGCCTACCGCGTCGATAGCCGGTGATTTAGGTGGTGTCAACGCCTTCGTTATTGCGGCCAGCGACGACACGATTTCTTCCAGCTTCGCACCGTGTTCACCGAGCGTAAGGGTCATGGATTCGAGCTTCGTGCTATGGTCGTCAAGGGTCTGGTTCATTCGGATCTGTTCGGCCCCCAATCGGGCCACTTCTTCTCCAACGCGACTTTGTTCATTCTCCAATTCTTGCAAACGTTCACTTTGAGTTCTTGTCATGGTGGCGGGACGGGATCCGGCAGGTCGGACCAAATTAATATAAACAAACAATAACAATCAACGGAAATAACCGTTGCCAAAGCTTGAGAGCTTAAACACACAAATTCGTATTTAATAAAGCCTGCTTTGAAATAACCCTCTTGAGGGGATTAAATAGACTACAAGTCCTAATTAAAGAAAAACTCCAAAATAACCTAAACTAGGAAATAAACTGGAATTAGGAGACTTATTAAAAAAACAATACTAATTAATTAATTAATAAACAATCCAATTAATTCTTCCAGCCAGCCTAACCAACGGATGTGGGCTTTTCCCGATCCCGCCTGCGATACACGATCCAAGGCCTGGGGCCTTCGTCTTCCTCGGTCGCACTCGACTGTCTTTCTTCTTCCTCGGTCGAGCGAGCCTGCTCGCTATCAAAATTGTATTGTTTTATTCTATTATTGTGACTAATGAAGTCCTATTTTACATAATTAATCCTTGTTGGGCCGCGGGTATGCGGTGCCAGCAATCTGCCAGCCTACCGGTGCAATCGAACTGCGTAGCGCTTCGCTTGTGCTATAAAGGGGAAGGAGCGTGCTTCACTATCAGCGATTGTTTTTAGTGTAGCGGTAAGCGCAACGATCCACAAGTGGTATCAGAGCCAAGGTCACGGGTTCGACCCCCGGCAACAGCATGCTGCGCAGTTGAGGCTAGCAGGTGCTGGGGGGAGATTGTTGGGACGCGGGTATGCGGTGTCAGCAATCTGCCAGCCTGCCGGTGCAATCGAACTGTGTGGCGCTTCGCTTGTGCTATAAAAGGGGAGGAGCGTGCTTCACTATCAGCGATTGCTTTTAGTGTAGCGGTAAGCGCAACGATCCACAATCCTTTTTAAATTTGACCATGTTTTACTCCTATTTTGAGAAGCGCGCGCTTGACGTGATTTAAACACGCCGAGAACTTAATTTTGTTAAATATATTTATCTTATTAGTATGTACTTCCTCCGTCCTTCTATAATTCTCCCATTTTTCCATTTTTGGATGTTCTTCTATTATTGTCCCATATCATATTTGGTAACATTTATGTGACTCTAATTCATTCTTACTTTATTCCCACTTTATCAACTCATTATCAATCACATAATTCTACTTTTCTTAAAACACCACACCACTCTCTTCCGTCCCAATATTAGGGGATGGAAGTAGTATATAATAAAATTATTAGTATATAATTAAAATGAGCTTGAAGAAATATCTAAAAAGGATGTTTTACCAATTCTTTATTCCCCACATGTTCTTTTCTTACAAAAGTCCCCTACACTTTCCTCACTATTTTCTTCTTCCAGCATTTTCCGGATTCCAAAGGGACCGTAAAAGATTTTGAAGAATGAAATTGAAGAGAAGTTAAGACAACCATTTTATTCTCAATATTCAACACACACTCACCATGATTCTGCATGGCCCGGTACATCTACCTCTGCCATAATATTGATGCCTGCATTGGATGTACTGCGAAAGTGAGCATTGGCAAAGAAGTGACATCTTGAAACTTTGGAAAAAGAGAATAGGGATGTCAAATTGTCAATTACCTCTCATTTTTGCAAAGCTTCCATATATCCATGGATAGAGACATGAAATGCCAAAAGACGTGTTTCATTGAGATATCCATGAATTATTGATCAATTTTATTAAATAGAACAAATCAGAAAATTATTGAAATGATCCTATACAAATAGTCTTCCTCCGTCATAAATAAATCCCACAAAATAAATGTAAATAAAAACAGAAAAAACAAAGAATTCTTACTTTACAATGTCTTTTGCATCTTCAACAGTATAGCGCTCCATCTTTGTATACGCCCCTTTCCACAAATTAGGATATGTAGGCACTTCTAGAGGAAATGACTCTTCATCTATGATGTGCCAATGCAGAACATTCTACTGAATTGAATCATCCACGTCAGAAATACAACACCAAAAATTCAAAAAACCATTTACCGCAACACATAAATTACCATACAAGTTTAGCATATGCCATGGATTCAATAACTTGCTTGATCATGTCAATAGGCAAAAAGTGTCTTGAAGTATCTACAATAGGAAATCATTATTGAGAAACTCATAAGGGGACGGCAATGCACAGAATGTTCTGCTGATTCATTAACCAAAACGAATGTCACATAACAAGTTTATGTCAATATGATTCTTATCTTACCAAGTAACAGCCCACGGTACACAAATCTCGGCTTGTCATTGATGAACCAGGGCGTCTTCTGTACTAGCACAGCTTTTGCCACATAATCAAAAGCACACAACTGGCTCATTGTCTATGAGACGAAAAGTAAGATTCCAGTCAGTAGGTTTATTATATGTCATATGATTTCTAAGAAAGCCTATATATTACATCTATTTCAGATCATACCTCTAATGCCCGAACAGCACCATATACAGAATTTGCCTGCATGATGAGTGAAACAAACTACAGTTAACAATATCCCCTACGCGTAGTTACCTGTCTGTAGATGTAGTGTTCCATTGGAAATGCAAGTTTCCATCTTTTAGCCTATAGTAACCAGAAATTTGCATTTGCAAGTAGCTCTAGATTGTGGGTGGTGGCTCATTGGAGTATACTAATGTTCTTGAAATATGTGTGCCCATATCATTTTATCATGTTCATCAGCATAATATGCTTCAGTACCCTATTAAGACTAGGCTCCATATTTTATCCTAAAAATAAGTTTTATAAGGTGAATGGGCCGAGTGGCTCAATAGCTCTTTACATTGTGGTCTGATTTATCATAGACTAGTCACAAGTTTAAGAATCAAACCTAAGAGATCACTGAAAGCTACAAATAAAGGAAAATGGCTGAAGTTCAAAATCACCTCAATGGAAATTCCAGGAACAACCGAATGCTCATTAACTTTAGCCACCATCAAAGTGTAACTCTCATCCACACCAAGTTGTAACTGCACAGTCAGCAATCAAATTGGCATCCATAACGGAAGTTGGGAGGGGAAAAAGATAAAGAATCGCCGCTAAGGCTTCACCTCTTCGTTGTCAGAATGAACAATAACACTAAGTTGCTTGATATCATAATCGCCGGACGTCGACACCTTGGAGCCATGCTTGAATATGATATTCTTGTATCGCTCAAACGCTTCTTTGACGATCACAGAGCTACCTCCATTTCCGGTGAGGGATAGAGAGATGTTAGGATCGACGGTGAGAGTTTCGTTTCCGGAGGTGAATTCCGACGGCAACGGCCATAAATATGTTAGAGATTCATCCAGCTCAGTTCGGAGTTTGAGTTTACGAGAATTGACTAAGGCAATGAAGAGAAAAAAGAGGAGGCAACAATGGAATGAGGATAAGACGGCCATCTTGAGAGAGAGCTTCGGTAAGAATGATTTGGCAATGGAATGGTATTGAAACGAGTGACTGTTTGACTGTTGAGTAGGTGGAAGAGAAACACTGTAACTGGACAATTCACCTGAGTTCAGTTACACTTGTGATATAAACCGGCTAATACTCATGTTTTAACTTATGTTTGACATATACTCGTATTTGACTTTGCCAAGTACAATAAAGGCTGAGATTTGCCAAGTACACGAATTAGTTGTTTTAATAACAAAGTGACAAAGTTTTTTAAGATAACAAAGTCCAATGCAACCGAGGGAGTATAGGGCTGACAATATCACCTGCGGATATCCAGTCAACCCGAACCGAAAATATGGATGAAAACTCGAAAAAGTATGGATGAAAAATGAATGACGGGTGGATTGAAAGATGAGTTGGATCGAGTGTGGATGAACACTCATCCAACCCATCACCTGACCCATCACTCGTTCCACCCACCCACCCGCGTACCCGCATATTAATTAATTATATACATACATACATACATACATACATACATACATACATACATACATACATACATACATACATACATACATACATACATACATATATATATATATATACATATATATATATACTCCCTCCGTCCCCCAGTTAAGTTACCACTTTTCTTTTTGGGCAGTCCCTAAATTAAGTTCACACTTCCTTACTTTCCTTATTTGGCAAATTATCTACATCAAAAAAGTGTCAAACAGTGACAAACAGTGTCAAACAGTGTTTGTACAATGCAAAATAGTGTACTCCACAGTAAAGTCAAATTTATTTTCTTAATACATGTGAAGTCAAACCGGGAACTTAATTGAGAGACAGAGGGAGTATATATATATATAATCAATGTTAATATGTTACGTAGTAATAGATATGTATTTAATTGAGAAGACACATATCTATGAATTTGTGAAATAAAGACAGTTGACCTGGAGAGTTTCAAGAAGTAACAGTTGAACTGCAAAAATAATTTTGTTCCGATACCGTAATGTAGAATTTGGCAGGTTGAAAAAGTTTCATGTCTATTTTGTTTGACAATCAGTTCTTTCTTTATCGGTAGTGAATTAATGATTGTAATATACTTGATTGTTCAAGTTTTTGTTGTTAATATTCAATGAATTCTTAATTTTTGGTTTTCAATTGTCATGATTTCTCTTTATAATTTATTTATTTTGTCTTTCAAGTTAGGCCATTTATATTCACCCGTTACTCACCTGATCCATCCGATAACCCGCTCATGATGGATGGGTTGGATGTGGATGTAATTTTTAATGGATGATGAACGGGTGGAAGGAGTATGAAAAATTAACGGGTGGATGCGGATGAGCCTTCACCCGGTATAAATCCGACCCGCTGCCAGCCTGCCACCCCTAAGGGAGTATGACATAAAGCAGATTTAACTTACATTACCCGTAGTACTAGGAGTACAAGGAACATGTTTTAGTATCCATATTTTGAATTCAAAAGTGTACAGAAAAAGTGTACATGTTTTTGTGATTTAACCTATGTACGCTTTTTTGTATATTCACTTGTGTGTATGAATAATTGAGACCGTTTCTAAATGAGTTGACATGTATATAAACAAATACATGGTGAACAAAAAGTGTACATTTTTTGTGTAATTCTAGTTTTTTCTTCAAACATATATGAGAATGTCAATACACAGCTCTATAGTCCCACCAACTTGCCACTCCCCTACTACCCCACCTACTCATTGGTGTTGACACTGTTGCACCTGTGATAGGCTTTTATTTTTGTCCGACAAATATAGAGAATGTTAATACGCACTTCTATAGCCCCATCAGGGCCGTCTCCATCAATTTTGAGGCTCTAGATGCTCAAATTATAACATGAAATTAAAAATAAAAAATAAACTACATACAAAATGCATTATAATTATGAATGCTAAAAATATATATTTTGAATGTAAATCATCCCAAAAATACCAAAAACGCATGCATATTCCAATACTCTGTAGTATATTCTTCTCACTTTTTGAAGAGCAAAATTAATAAAAACATCACTACAGTTGTAGTTAAAAAAGAACAATCAGGTTGATTTGAGACAAAAATAATCAACTCAAACAGTTGGACTCTCGGTCCATAAATCTCCAATTGCTGGACTGATTGACTGAAGCAATGAAGGTGTGAAGTCCTAGGTCCCCTAATTATCTTATGGTAGTAGAATAAGCACGAAGAAGAGAATACCGAATACACAGGATCACGACTCATAGGTTTGCGGGTAGAGCCAAATATCGGAGTAACTGATATGAATTTGCCGCTTTATTAGGAATTCAATTTCACTTAACAGACTTGTTCTAATTAGAATTAAAATTATTTAATAATTATACATATAATACTGATGGGTTTACAAATTCTGGAGGCCTCCAAAATTTGGAGGTCCTAGACAATTCTCTAGGCTGACTTCCCCTATGGGCGGGCCTGAGCCCCACCACTCCCCTATTGCTTCTGCTCACCTGCCCACTGGTGTTGCTACTACTACACCGATGATAGTGCTTAGCTTCTACCGTTAGTAGTAAAGCCCCATTGGTGAAAAAGATTTTTTGAGATTTTAATCCGTTGGTGAAAATTATCGAGGTTATCAAAAAAATTGGAATGCTGACATTTTCAGTACAATATTGCACGCACCAAATTAATTATGTGGTATAATATCAGTATATAGGTCGAAAATAATCAGTATACCTACCGATTTACCATCATACCGAAATTCAAGCTAATGGTTTGTTTGACATTATAAAATTTACTACAAACACAATATTAACTTAAGTATATATAAATAATTTTATATCCATGTTGTTTGAATCATTTGTACTTTTTTAATTGGAGATCACTACTATTTTATTTTATATTTATGTTGTTTAAGTTATTTTAGGAGAATGAGTATTTTTTCATATTTCATATGTTGAAATGTTAAAACATTTTATTATAATTATTATTCAAAATTGAATAGGAAATACATTATTCTTAATATTTGTAATTAATTTTATTAATGCTTTTAGTATATCACTACTAACATTAATTTTGTATATATATTATCTGACATAAAATTTCAACTATAATATGATATTTTACTGATATCGTAAATTTATTATACTGAATTTTCAATGTAAGGTAGATATGTATTTTTGTATATCAATTGTAAGTATGACAAAAGTATACGCTAAAATATGATGTACTTCTCCGTATGTAATACTCCGTATTACAGTACGTCCGTACCGAACCACTTCTTTAAGCAGGAACATTCCGCTATAATTGATTCTGACAGGAACGCCACTAAGCTTTACATAAATTACGCAATGTGCCACTTTTCCTTTACTCTTTTCTTTAACTAACTATACACCTGCATGAGCGTTCACCAGTTGTGGCAACAACCTGAGATGGTGGACACGATAAGCATCGACTTGAATTCTGGTGGCCCCGATGAGCAGCTCCTCTTACCGGAGGCTAACAGTGTAGACCGGTCTTGGCGGCTGAATTTCGATAGCTTCCAACTGCCACCGGAGAAGAAAGAAAAGACTCGTCATAGCCTTCCTGACTACCTCGGCGTTTTAAGTAACTCTCTCGATTTTCACACGCTTCCTAAATCGTCTAATTTCACTCATGCATCTTATTGACTTGTCATTTTATATCAAATGAGTGACTTAAAACAGAAAAACAGACTTTTCATGGATTTCGTTTTCCTTTAAATTGTTTAAAATATCAAAATCATATTTCAAGTAATCCGGTTACTCACTATCGTTTCGGTCCCAGTGCAATTAGGGGGCTTGAATCTTTGATGTCTTTTTTATACGGTGACCTAATATCTAGCATTTTAGTTAAGATCAAAAGTGAACAATGGAATTTTATTTCCTTTTTGAGTTATATAAAATTTCGTATCAGCATCAAGTATATACGCTAAGAGTGGTATGTCGCTCAATTGCCATCTCTGACTGTCATAGATAATGTATGTTGTAGACCTTTTATACTGATTCTTGAAAATTACGACAATGAAATGATATCCTATATGGTGTATAGCCAATATTATGATGTTTTCATGTACAAGTCTGGATATATATCTCGTCTACTTTCTGTAGCAGAAAAGCACCCTCAACTCTCAATTATAGTTGGTTGCAATTAATATAAATACTATAAATGGATTTGGTGTGCAATACTGAATCCTTCATTGAATGTGTATTGAGTTACAAGGGGTACGAAAGTAATACATAAATCAGAAAAGTTTTATTGTTCAAATTCCAAGTATTTTTTGTGAAACATTACCTTGCTTAAACTATCAAATAATGCATTTTCAAATTTTTGCTCTGCTTATTGCCCTGGGCCCTTGACACAATTAAATAAGATGAAGTCGTTCGCATTGTCAATTTTAGAGAGGTTCACTATTATATGTTGGGTTGTGGGTCCATGTTCTGAAGAACAAGATGCTTCACAGTGGATTGACACAAAGTTGCAAATATGAAAGAATTCTATTTTAATCTTTCTGTTCTGCTTCATGGAATATGCTTCGTTTGTGGTTACTACTCTTGAGTTGACACTTGTTTGCACATGCTCATACTTTATGCACACATTATCACACACACATAAAAATGCAATGTATTGTACTCTGTATTCAGATATAAGCTGCACACCTATACTTTTGTAGAAGGAAGTAAGACATGTTCTCCTGTTGCAGAGTTGTGTAGTACAAGAAACCTTTTTGCACTTTCATACATAGTCTTTTTCCAGTGATTGTCTCAACAGAGAAGTGGAGTGAAACAATTCCTAATGTATCTACCCATTGTCAGTAAGTTACACATATGACCCACTCAAAGTACCTTGGTTTTTACCCTCAACAGGTTTAAATCCAAAATTTGATATCAGGCTAATGAACTGCTAAAGTTGACGCTTGTAGATTTAACTAATGTAGCCTTTCTTGTGATCCTTTAGAAACATATGCACTTGAAATTCATTATTTGATTTATTTTGTGAGATATCATTGTAACAGTTAGTTTCCATATTGAAACATGAAGATCAGTTATTAACGAGTGTTTATGAGGTTTTCTTTTTCAATTATTGAATTTAGTGCTTATATTTAACCGTTTTATCTGATGATTACAGAAGAAGAAGAAGAAGACAGTGTTGCAGAATATTATCAACAACAAGTGGAAATGCTTGAGGGATTTAATGCAATGGATTCCTTAGCTGATCATGGTTCTGCACCAGGAATGTCAAAGGTTAGCGTGTCACTGAATTGCTATTAAGCATGAACAGTGATTTTCATAGACCTTAATTAGTTTGCAGGAGTAGCTAGGGTGATGTTAATTTTCTTCTTAATGGTTCCGTTGTAGGAAGAGAGAGAACAATTGGCCAAAAGTGAAGCAACTGTCATAAGGATATCAAATATTGCAAACATGGTTCTCTTTGCAGTTAAGGTTTATGCATCTGTTCGGAGTGGTTCTCTGGAGATTGTTGCATCAACATTAGACTCGCTCCTTGATCTTTTATATGGTTTTATATTGTGGTTTACGTCTTTCTCCATGAAGAAGCAAAATCCATATAAGTATCCTATTGGAAAGAAACGTATGCAACCTTTGGTGAGCTCTTTTACTTTTCTCTGTACTTACCACAAAGGAAGTACATAGTGCATCAATGTAATCTGCTAATTATGTTTCATTACATTCTAAAAGTATCCTGAATGTTAGGATGGATTTTTATATTTAGCCTGGTTTTCAGAATACAGAGTTTTCTAATGGTAGTAGAAAGAAGATTCAATCAACTTGAGTACTTTATCAGTCTCTTCTATGTTGGTATTTCAGATGTTCATAGAGAAATACATAGTATTGATGTTTTCTTGACATGGGCAACACAAAGTGTATCTGCATTTATATTATCTGCGTTGTTATAATGGAATCAGGTTTTCTCCATGCAATAGATTGGGGCTTAGTCGGACTGAAAAAGGAAATGTCAGAAGCGATCAAGGAGGGCATAGAGCTTAGACACATGTTTTTTGAATAGTAATTATGTAGAGATGGGTCACATCACTGGAGTTTATGAGACCTCTAACTTAAAAAATGTTATTTTTTGTGAGAAAAATTTTGTTTTTCATTGTTGTGATTCTTCCTTTTACTTCCAATTTAAAAACCCTAGAAAACAAATGAAGAAGTTCAAAATTTCTAATCACATTGGAAAAGCTTTCTGATGGATTATATTTCTTACTTGAGCGTGGTCCACGGCCCCACTTGTGGACCAAGCCAACCAAGTGATTTTAGTTCAAATCACAGCAGAATTTACTTTAAAGGACGTGTGTTAATTTGTTTTGGTCATTCGTGATTTTCCATTGGATTGATTGATGATATGCAGGGAATACTTGTTTTTGCATCTGTTATGGCGACTTTGGGACTACAAATAATTTTGGAGTCTATTCGAACGCTGATATCTAACGTAAGCAATTCTTCTTAACCGTCACAAAAAAGTTTTTGCCTTTTTTAGTCTTCCAACTATAATGTGAGTGACACTTTTGGTAATCAACTTTGAATCTTTCTGCTTTCAATCCTTCGACTATTGCGTTTGGGACACTTTATGTACCCGTCATATTTAGTCATTGTCCAATTTTATGCATTATGTTATTCAACTTTTATAAGTGACACATTTAGTCCTTTCAATATGATTTTACCAAATAGGCGGAGGACTAAAAATGTCAGTATGATAATAGTTGAAGGAATAAAAGTGTCATGCTTATACAATGGTCAGGGGACTTTATGTACCCGTCTTATTTAGTCATTGTCCAATTCCCCATAATGTTATTCACTTTTATAAGTGACACATTTAGTCCTTCCAATATGATTTTACCAAATAGGTGGAGGACTTAAAATGTCACCATGATAATAGGTTGAAGGAACAAAAGTGTCATGTTTACAATGGTCAGGGGACTTAATGTAGAAAAAATGAATGCCGATCGTCGAGGACCAAGAGTGTCTTTGTCACTATGTTCAAACCACTATATGTGGAAAAACACAAAGTCGAGTACCAAAAGTGTTTAGAATCGGAAGACTAACGGTGGCAATAACTCTGTCACAAAACTACTTTCTCATTTTGGTTTTTATCGATGAGCTTCTTACTTGATTCCTAATGTCAATTGTATTGGTTCCTGTGTGCTTTGATTGAAACATATATAACACCTTTCTGCAGAAGCGTGATTTCAAGCTTACAAAGGAACAATAGTTCTGGGTAGTTGGCATTATGGTTTTTGTAACTATTGTGAAGCTAGTTTTGGTACTCTATTGTCGATCCTTTACCAACGAGATTGTCAAAGCATATGCCCAAGACCACTTCTTTGATGTTGTCACCAACGTCATAGGTCTAGTTGTTGCATTACTTACTAACTACGTAAAAGGATGGATGGACCCTTCTGGAGCTATTGCTGTAAGTAAATGTTGGACTTTATACTTCCTCTTAGGCTGTGATCGGGAAGCTAGTTTTGAAGGGTATGGAATGGGAGTGGTTTTTCTCTCCTTTTTTATTTATAGAACATTGCTTTAACGGAATATTTTTGTCGAACTATCTAAGTAGAATATGAAACAATACATTAGTATAAATGCAATGTTTAGGCATTTATTTATAACCACACCATAGATAATTCTCGCAATATAGAAACAAAAGAACATATCCGCTCATTTGATTTGTTTTTATATACTCCCTCCGTCCCGCAAAATAGTTCCCGGTTTCCTTTTTTGACCGTCCAAACTAATAGTTCCCATTTCCCTTTTTGGAAAATTTTGTGTGGCTCACATTCATTTACCTTTTTCTTACTCAACCACAACTATACATTTCCACTCTGTTCCCACTTTCTTAAACTTCGATCCAAGTCAATGCGGGAACTATTTTATGGGACGGAGGGAGTACTACTTAACATTCCTTTTTCGTAAGCCTAAATGGCTAAACCCTAATTTCAATTAGGGCTGGGTTCGGTTATGGTCCTGAGCCAGTACTGTCCACCCCAAGGACCGAACGACATTTCGGATACTCAAAATGTCATAACCGAGACCGAACCGCTATTGAATCGGGTACTGATTTATTGGGAACTGAAATTTAGGTTCGGTTCGCCCAAAACCAAATAAACCCGAACTTATAAAAAATTTAACTAATATTCAATGCTTCAGTTCTGAAGCAATACTAGTCGGGGCTATCTATGCCCAATACTATGTCGTACCAAGCCCATTCATTCAGACTAGTTGGTAGGCACGATTATTCTAAGCTGAACCAGAGTAACAAGGTTATATAGAAACATTTGAAGGAGGAATCCTTCTCTTCTTCTGTTGTAGCTGTGTAGGACAAAGTTGTTTTGGAAAGCAATTTGAATTTTGAAAGTTTAACAAGAAAAGTCGTACCTGGGAGTCGAACGTGAGACATCCAACGTAACGGATGCACTCTACACTGATATCATATATATGCAGCATTATTAACTACACTATGATAATTATAAATAATAATCATTACTCTTAATCCAAATTGTCGGTTCAATTCGGTGCTAACCGATTTTTTGGTAGTGTTGACCAAATTTGAACCATGTTTTTCTCGGGTCCCAAATTACATAGGTTTGATTTGGGTTTATCAATACGGTTCGGGTTTTTCGGTTCAACTTTCATTTTTCGGTCCAAAATGTCAGCCCTAGTTTCAATAGCTTGATCCTTGGGGCGGCCATTATCACTCCCAGACTCCCTACATGCTCTGCAGAACAATAATTAATTCACATAATTTTTTACATTTTTTAACGGTGTTAACCAAACTTAGGGTGGGCATTGGCCCCCTCTACCAATGTTGTTGCCACTCCGGCACTCCCTAACATGGTACTCATAGTCTCATAGTCCCATTTTCATCACTTATTTGTGTGGTGCAGCTGGCCATATACACCATCCGAACTTGGTCACTTACTGTGATGGAGAATGTGAAATCACTTGTTGGCAAGTCGGCTCCCCCAGAATATTTGCAGAAAGTGACGTACCTATGTTGGAACCATCACAAATCCATACGCCACATAGATACTGTCAAGGCATACACCTTCAGTTCCAACTACTTTGTTGAAGTTGACATTGTCTTGCCTGCAGACATGCCCTTGAAAGAGGCACATGATATTGGAGAGTCCTTGCAAGAGAAGTTGGAATGGCTACCTGACATCGAGCGTGCCTTTGTTCATCTTGATCAGGAGTTCAGCCACAAACCAGAACATGCACAGACACATCTCTAGTGTAAAAAATGCTTCTATCTTCTTCTACCTGATTTCTTAGTCCCAACTCCCGACATCTATATTTGTCCAGAGTTTGGGGATTTCACTTTGGAGATCTGATTCCTTTAGCATAAAACCTGTAGGAGACAATTAGTTGTCAGCATCTTAAACTCAGAAATAGGAATAACATTGTAGTTGATATGGTAGATGGTAAATGCAACCGTCTTTATTACTCCCTCTCTCCAATCTTTCCTTTTTAGCATGTTCCACTTATATGGTTTCATATTATCATGTTTTGATGGTTCTAAATTGATTTTACTTTGTTCTAGTTTAATCAATTCAATATCAATCACATAAATTCATTTTTATTAATAAACACATCACTACCTCATTTATCAAAGTTAGGGAGACGGAGGCAATACTGAGTATGTATTGTTTTAAACATGGTTATCCTTTTTCATGTTTTTTGCCTTCATTAGCTTTTTTCTTTTTGACGTTTTTTATTCTAAATGCTAGAGGAGCTTAGAGGTAACCATACTTTGTTTGGAGTAGTGGTGGATTGGGATGGGTTGGCCCGACCTGGGACCCAGTCCGGTACTGTGCAGGCCCGACCCGGCCTGGTCAGCCAGTACCGGGACTGGGGCCTAAACCGGGAATATGGATGGCAGGCTACGAGCTTCAGAAATAGTGGACCGGCCCCGACCACTATTTTATTTTATTTTTTGTTTGAAATGGTTTGGGCTCTTGGGGCTCCTAGTTGGAGGGGTGGTTGGGGTGGGGTACAAAACCCCTATAAATAGATCTTATCAAATCTTGGTTATAAATATTATGTGTATTGATGATATTTTTAGATATACTTGGGTCTATTCTAGGGGTGGGCGCGGTCCAGGTCGGTCCGGGTAATTGATAATTTTTTAAGAACCGCTGGTTCCATCTAGCGGGTAGGTTCAGTCCGAGTATATCAAGTTTTGAAATAGGAACCGGACTTAACCTGCCCCATTTGAAACGGGCCGGTTCAGTCTAAGTTCTCGGTTCTTTTTTATTAAAATACGGCTATGCTAGCAAAGTATCTAGTAATCTATAGGATTCTCAAACTATTGGTATATATGGGTATTTTTATTTCCGCTCCAGTTCAACTTCATTGTGATAATGTCTTTGCTTCCTACTTGGTTGTCAATCCCATTCAACATGATTGCAGAAAACACATCAAGATTGACTATCACTTCGTTCGAGAACGTGTGGCTCATGGGGATCTCGTTGTGAAATATATTCCTACCCAATTGTAGTTAGCTGATATATTTACCAAAAAATTATCTAGTCAGCGTTTTAATTTTTTGCGTTCCAATCTGCGCGTTGTTTCCACTGCACAAATTGAGGGGGTGTAATAATGTGTTTATCTAGGGATTACTGTGTAATTTCCATAACTTTGTTTTATTATAAATACAATCTTAAGACACCCAATAGGGCATGCCATTATTAACCAAAACTATTGTTTTGTATATTATTTACTCAAGAGAAGAAGAAGAAGATGGGCAGCGATAGCGAAAAAGAAATTCTCCCAAATTGGACCAAAACATAAGATTAATGCAAAAATAGGACCATTCTTTTAATATTCCCGGAATAGGAGCTCCGATTCCAAATTTACCCCTTCCCACATTTATTATTCTTTCTGCACATCCCTTCCATCACGCCACCTACTCCCCCATCTTATCTCTTATTACCTACGAAGTATATGTCAAATATCACCACCACCTCACAGCTCTTGCAGGCACCTTCTCTCTCATCTCCCACCAACCTTCCATCCTCACTTAATTTGTTCTACGATTGTAGCTCCGGCGATGATATTCTTTGCCCATTTCAGGCCAATTTTTCTCCATCTAATTTCTCTTCCGTCAATCGGCGAACTCTGGTAATTGTATTGAATATGAGAGATTTGTATTCTTCTTCTCCTCTTTCTTTCTTTCTTTCTTTCTGTTTTTTTCTTCTTCCCTTCCATAATCCTCGTCCACCTCTATTTTCTTCTCACTTTGAACTTTTTCTCATTTTCTTCTAATTTTTTTATTTAATTGTGAGATTCCAAATAAATAAAAAATCTATTTTGAATCTGAAACTTTTGGGCTGTTATACCGCTTATACGTTAACTGCCGGTGGTATATAAATATTTGTGTTGATTTTTTTTTGTTATTTTCGATAAATTTCTTACAACTTTTCAAACTAATAATTTAAATCTAAAAATGCTACAGACAACACTATTTTGGAACTACAGTTGTAAAGTCATACTCGTATGATTTTTAATTTTAATTTATTCTCTATTCTTTTGTTGGAAGAAAGTAGTTGATGAGTATTATATTTGGGTGATTGTGTGTGGAAGAGAGAATTTTAGAGAGAGGTGATTTTAGAAGAACTTGGAACTTGTATTGATTTGGAGCTTTTGGCTTGCTTTACAAATGAGTGAGGAGTGCTCTATTTATAGGTCTCATAGGATCCTTCTAGGTACTCCTACTTCCTTAACCTTCTAGAATATTCTATAGGATTCTAGCTTAGGAATAATCTAGAATTATTTAGGTACATTAACTACTCTAGATCTTTCTAAGTCTATCTTATGGGCTAGCTAATTTATTAATTATCATACAACTTCTAGCCCAATAAGTTAACATCTAATGGACCCAATTATTGGGCTAAGCCAAGTTTAATTTCTAACATCCTCTCTTAAACTTGACTTAGCCCATTGATCAACTTATGGGCTCACTACAAGTCCATGAAGAAAGAGTTGTGAGAAATAAATCTGATGAATCATTGGAGCATTCTCTTTACTCCAAACTCTCTTTTAAAGAAAGAGGGGAGAATAGAGGTGAAGAAAGAGACCAACGAGGTCGTGGTTATGATCGAGGACGTGGTGCACGTGGAAGAGGTGGTCGAGGTCGTGGTTATACAAACTTCAACAATGAAGAAAGAATTCAATATACACAAGCATCTAGAGGCCGTGGGAGAGGAAGCAAACCACAAAGGTACGAGAAGTCTCAACTAAAGTGTTATAATTGCAATAAATATGGCCACTATGCATATGAATGCAAGCGCTCTAATCATGTGAAAGAAGAGGCCCATCTCATGGAGATGAATAATGAGGTAGAACTTACCTTGTTGATGGCAAATCATGAAGAACAAACAAAGAAGAGCACGTGGTATTTAGATACCGGAGCTAGCAACCACATGACGGGAGATAAAAGCATGTTCGTGAAGGTAGAACAAACTCAAGGTCATGTTACTTTTGGAGATGAGTCTAAAGTCGTGGTGAATGGAAAAGGTAACGTTCTAATCCGTCTAAACGATGGAAGTCACCAATTCATTTCCGATGTTTACTATGTGCCCAACTTAAAAACAAATATTCTAAGTATGGGACAACTCTTAGAAAAGGACTATGATATTCACTTAAAGAATCGTAGCCTTTCTCTACGAGACAATAATGGAAGACTAGTTGCTAAAGTGCCGATGACTAGAAACCGAATGTTCTTGCTTGACATTCAAAGAGATCAAGCCATATGCTTAAAAAGTTGCTTGAAAGACGAGTCATGGATTTGGCACTTAAGATATGGGCACTTAAACTTTGGTGGCTTGAAAATGCTATCATCCAAAGGCATGGTGAAAGGCTTGCCCTTCATCAATCATCCTGATCAGCTATGCGAAGGTTGCCTATTTGGGAAGCAATCAAGGAAACCATTCCCTAAAGAAGTTACCTCAAGAGCTAAGGAACCATTGGAGTTAGTCCATACCGACTTATGTGGTCCTATTACTCCATGTTCACATGGTAAAAGTAAGTACTTTCTCACTTTCATCGATGATTACTCAAGAAAAACATGGGTATATTTCCTTAAACAAAAATCTGAGGCCTTTGAAGCATTCAAGAAATTTAAGGCTCTTATTGAGAAAGAAAGTGGGTACAGTATCAAAGCCATGAGATCAGATCGGGGTGGGGAGTTCACATCAAAGGAGTTTAATCAATTTTGTGAAGATAATGGCATCCGCCGTCCCATGACTGTCCCACGAACACCACAACAAAATGGTGTTGCCGAAAGAAAGAATAGGACGATCCTCAACATGGCTCGAAGCATGCTAAAAACAAAGAATATGCCTAAAGATTTTTGGGCTGAAGCTGTGGATTGTGCTGTCTATCTTCAAAATCGCTGCCCCACGAAGAGTCTCGATGGAAAAACTCCACAAGAAGCATGGCATGGAGGTAAACCTGGAGTCTCACACTTGAGAGTATTTGGATGCATTGCATATGCGCATGTACCCGATCAGACTAGGTCAAAACTCGACGACAAGAGTGAGAAGTTTATATTCATTGGATATGATAAACACTCAAAAGGGTACAAACTCTACAATCCGGATTTGAAAAAGCTTATAATAAGTCGTGATGTGGAGTTTGATGAAGAAGGCTCATGGGATTGGAGCATTGGTGACAAAGAAGATTATAGTCTCTTGCCTCCCATGGAATATGAAGAAGAAGTTGAAGAAAATCATGAAAATACAACTCCTCCACCATCTCCCACTCAAGCTCAAGCTTCATCACCAAGTTCGGATGAAAGAGAAATACCACGCATGAGAAGCATTGAAGAGCTTTACGAGGTAACACAAAATTTGAACTCAAATGATGAACTTACACTCTTTTGTCTATTTGGTGATTGTGAGCCACTAAGTTTTCAAGAAGCCATAAGAAACAAGAAATGGAGAGATGCAATGGATGACGAGATCAAGTCAATCGTGAAGAATAAAACATGGGAGCTTGCCACACTTCCACCAAAACATAAAGCAATTGGAGTGAAATGGGTATTTAAGATCAAGAAAAATGCAAAAGGAGAAGTTGAGAAGTACAAGGCAAGACTAGTGGCCAAAGGCTACGCCCAGAGACATGGCATTGATTATGAAGAAGTATTTGCGCCCGTGGCTAGATTAGAAACAATAAGATTGATAATTGCATTCGCGGCTCACAACAAGTGGAAGATACATCAAATGGATGTCAAGTCTGCATTCTTAAATGGGTTCCTAGAAGAAGAAGTCTACATTGAGCAACCCGAAGGTTACAAAGTCAAAGGGCAAGAAGGTAAAGTGTTGAGGCTAAGTAAGGCTCTTTATGGGCTTAAACAAGCACCAAGAGCTTGGAATAGTAGAATTGATCAATACTTCCAAGCTAATGGATTCGTGAAATGTCCGCAAGAACATGCTCTATATATCAAGAAAAATCATCAAGGAGACATACTGCTCTGATACCACTTTGTTGGAAGAAAGTAGTTGATGAGTATTATATTTGGGTGATTGTGTGTGGAAGAGAGAATTTTAGAGAGAGGTGATTTTAGAAGAACTTGGAACTTGTATTGATTTGGAGCTTTTGGCTTGCTTTACAAATGAGTGAGGAGTGCTCTATTTATAGGTCTCATAGGATCCTTCTAGGTACTCCTACTTCCTTAACCTTCTAGAATATTCTATAGGATTCTAGCTTAGGAATAATCTAGAATTATTTAGGTACATTAACTACTCTAGATCTTTCTAAGTCTATCTTATGGGCTAGCTAATTTATTAATTATCATACAACTTCTAGCCCAATAAGTTAACATCTAATGGACCCAATTATTGGGCTAAGCCAAGTTTAATTTCTAACATCTTTTACATTTTTTAGTTTAAAATACAATTACTTTTATCTGGTAATAGTCTCATAATTTCACATGAAATTGCCATAGTCTTTCTCTGAAAAGTGCCATATTTTACATTTATAAGTGTCAAGTTTTTTTATTTGAAAATGTCATGTAATGCCATATTAATCATATCATTGCCATGTTTTTGTTATTAAGTTCCATTTTTCTACGTAAGTGCCATTTACGTTTTATACATTAATGCCATACGAAGTATTTCATTGTTTTTATATAGATGCATGATAATATCATTAGCTAGGGATAAGCCACTGCCTTCCCTACGCACAAGAGGACATTAACCTCTAGAATAGTCATCAGTGATGGCGCAAGAGACCGTATATGATAGTCAAAGCGCCAAATGAGGAATCGCCGGAGGGCGGCGGCGATAAAGGACATGGCGGCGGCACCAGAGAATGCGGCGGAGACTGACAACGACCGTTGCTGCTACAGATGAGGTGGCCGGCAGTGGCACCGCTGGAGATGATGGCCGTCAACCACCAGATCCGGTGTGGATTGATGTCCTTCACGCTTTGGGCTTGTGTTAAACTTTGTTTTATTATTATGTTTATAATACTCCGTAATACGAAGTATTAACTAATGATAAAGAAATTGACTTTTTCATTAAGGGTAGTAATGTCAGGTCACTTATTTTAACTCCTACGGAACATTGATGTCCTAGTTTTGCACTTTTACAATGATTTACTCCTAGATAGGGAATTTACTCATAGCGAAACAGAGAAATCAGCCCAGAAGGAGATGGAGAAGAAGAAGCTATTAGCCATTGCCCCTATTGCAAAAACCTCTAGCCGGTAAAAAGCTCAGCAAGCGCACTTTCAAACTCGTCCGTCAAGCTGCGGAGAACAAATGCTTGAAGAGAGGTGTAAAGGAGGTAGTCAAAAGCATTCGTCGAGGCCACAAAGGATTTTGTGTGATTGCAGGGAACATATCTCCTATTGATGTGATCACCCATGTTCCTATCCTATGTGAAGAAGCTGAGATCCCGTATGTTTATGTTCAATCAAAAGAAGATCTTGCAAATGCAGGAGCTATAAAAAGGCCAACTTGCTGTGTATTAGTCTTGACCAAGCCTACCAAGGGAGATATGAATCAAGAAGATCAAGACAAGTTGAAAGAAGAGTATGATCAGGTTGTGTCTGAAGTTCGTGAATTAGCATCTTCGATGCATTAAATTTTGTTTTTTAAATTTCATCGTACTCAATATTGTACTCTGCAATATTCGTCAGTAATGGTTAATTATTATCTTTAAAAAAGGTATATTATTTACTCAAAAGGAAACCTGAAATTTAGATATCCCTCAATAATCTCAAGGTTTTAAAAAAATATGTATATAATCGCAAATTAAAAGTTTGACAAAAGCGAATCAACATAACGGAAAGTTAACAGTGCAATTAAACGGCGGTTTCATTTTTGTAAATTAGTTAACACGTAGGAGTTGTGTTGTTTGTATTGGTCCACCTCACACCACCTAGGCCATCCCATATTTAATGTTCTTGGTCCACCTCATTTAAGGAGTTGGTCTCCTATATTTAATGCCCTGGCCCAATTGGGTTGTCTGCCTGACCATGCCCATTCGCTCCTAATTTGTTCCTACCCAGCCTGTGACTTATGGTGGCCCTTTGATATATTTGTCTGGTTACTTCTCGATCCCTCTATTTCTTCCGTTCCTCCTTCTCTCTAAACTATGAGCCTCTTAGTCTGTTACCTTAGACCTAGAGTGGGAGAGTACCAGTCTCACCTGAGCTTTAGCTCCGGCTATACTCCGGTGACACTTTGGGGTTCCTTTGGGGGGTCTTCACTCTAGTTTGGTTGTGTGATGGGTTTCTTCTCCGGTGGGGCTTCTGGGTTGGGGCTTGGGTTCTGTGAGTGAGGGTAGTCAATTGTTGCCCCTCAGTTTCCCTTTTTGTAACCTTGGTGGTGAATGTGAGCAAGCTCTTGGGCTATGGTGATTGAGGTCTGAGCCGGTCCTGAATCTCAACAGTGGTATCAGAGCCTGGATGCTTGCTGCCTCTCGCTGACATCGGAAGCTCGCCGGAAAACTCCCACACCGGCAATGACTGGAGCCTCGTCGAAGTTGGTAAGTCGGGTGGTCTCTCGTAGACACCTGCTCACGTATAACAGCTTAAACCCTAACCTTTGGGCTGCCGGAGTGCCACCGGTTTCTATGCTGCATGGGTAGATCTGTAACCCTAGGTTTCAGGTCTGCCGAGTAGAAACCTTAGATCAACCTTTGCATGTACAGTTCCTGTTAACACAAAACTGTAGAAACCCTAGGTAGTGTTTCGATTGTGCATGAGTGGTTCAATCTGTGTCGACTTGGCCACTGATTACCTGTGAACTCTGATTGGCTTATTAAATTGACTTTTTGTGTGTTGTGGTCTTTAACTTGCTACCCCTCTGTGTTATTTCCTCAGAACCTCTCTCTATATTGTTGTATCTTGCCTTATTAACTGTTGTGTTAATTGTTTTTTCTCTGCTCAATCTGTCATGTCCTACCCTCTTGCCTGAATTCTGGTAATAGTGTAGCTTTGAACCCGTAGTTGGCTAAGGCACCTAAGGTTAGGGCTAAGGGATACCTTGCCAGCGTCTTTAGGGGCCCCGAAACTGCGTGGTCTCTTAGTTCGCTGCCTAAAACTCTAGGGTTAAGCTTTTATATTACCTGTCACTCAGTCGTTTGGGTGTTGACTGTTATCATGGCTTCAAACCTATATGGTATGATGCCTTTTAATGGTAAGACTGACTTTGATATATGGAAACAGAAGATAAAATGTGTGTTAATCCAACGGAAAGTTTATAGGGCAGTTACTGGTCAGTTTCTAGGATCTGAGGATAAACCTAAACAAGTTGAAATGAATGAAACAGCCTATTCCACTATATACCTAAACTTGTCTGACTCTGTCTGTTCTTAGAAAAGTTGGAATCTTAGAGTCTGCTAAGGGTCTGTGGGATAAACTTGAAACTCTTTACACTGATACATCCTTACCTGGGAAGTTGTTTTTACTGGAAAAATTCTTTGGATTTAGGCTTGACCTAACTAAAGACATTGAGGAAAATCTTGATATTTTTCATAAGTTGATTCAAAATATTAAGTAGGCTGGGGATAAACATATAGATGACTATACTCCTATTGTCCTTTTTAATGCTATTCCAGATTCCTACAATGATGTTAAGTTTATCATTAAATATGGGAGGGATGAGATAACCCTAGACATTATAATTAATGGTTTCAAAAGCAAAGAGCTGGACTTAAAGCACTCTAGGAGTCATAGCAATCACTCTAAGGAATCTGGTGAAGCCTTCTTTGTGAGGGGCAGATCTAAGAGTAGGTCTAGGCACCCTAGGAAGGATAACCAAGATAAAAACAGTAGACAACCTCGTAAGAAAAGGTATAAGTCTAAGAAAAGAATGTGTTATAACTGTGGGAACCCAGGTCATTTCATAAGGATTGTACCCAACCCAAAAGAAATGAACAGGCCAACTCTGTTACCAATAAAGAAATTAGTGAAGAAGTGTTCATGGTATGTGATTAGGCTAATTCTGTGCTCAGTAGTTTGACTGAAACTGAATGGTTAATTGACTCAGGTTGTACCTACCATATGACCCCTTTTAGAAATCTGTTTTCTTCCTATAACTTGAGTGAATCTGGTTTTGTTTCCCTAGCTGATAGTAAAAGGTGTAAGGTCCATGGTATTGGTGACATCTGTCTAAAACTTGAGAATGGAACTGTTTTCAAATTAAAAAATGTTAGACATGTCCCTGAATTCTGTTTCTGCTTTTGAAGAATGTGGTCTTGAGGGTAAATGGGGAAATGGGTGTATGAAAATCCTGAAAAACGCTCTGGTTTTTTTTAAAGCTCTGAAACAAAATAACTTGTATGTTATTCATGCTAAACCTTTTTCTGAAAATGCTAATGTTGTACTCACTGATAAGTCTGTGCTTTGGCACCAAAGACTTGGTCATATGAGTAATAAAGGCTTGAACATTTTACAAAAATCTGGGTGTTTTGGAAATGACTTGGTGTCACTTATACCATTTTGTGAGGGTTGTGTCTTAGGTAAACAACATAGGGTTCAGTTTCCTACCTCTAGCTATCCCAGTGAGCCTAAGTCCAAAGTTGTCCTTGACTACATACATGCTGATGTGTGGGGTCCCTCCAGTGTCCCTACCCATGGTGGTAGGAGGTACTTTCTATCCATAATTGATGACTTTTCTAGAAAAGTATGGGTCTGTTTGTTAGAACATAAATCTGATATTCTGATGTGTATATTAGGTTTAAAGAATGGAAAATTATGGTAGAAAATCAAACTGGATGTAAGGTTAAAACCCTTAGAACTGACAATGGGTTAGAATTCTGGAATAAGGATATGGATAGGTTGTGTACTGAGTGTGGGATTAGGAGACATAAAACTGTTCCCTATACTCCCCAACAAAATGGTCTGGCTGAAAGAATGAATAGGACCCTCCTTGACAAAGTCAGAAGTATGCTTGCTACTTTCGGCCTCCCCAAGAAGTTTTGGGGAGAAGCTGTTAACACTGCCACCTACTTGATCAATAGGTCTCCTTCTGTACCCTTAGAGGGTAAATGCCTTGAGTCCGTCTTCTCTAAGAAACCCCTTGACCTGTCAAACTTAAAGGTGTTTGGGTGTGCTGCCTATGTACACCAACAGACTGACAAGCTAGATCCTAGGTCTAAGAAGTGTATTTTCTTATGTTATCGTGAAGGGGTAAAAGGGTATAGGACCTGTGATAGAACTCAGATTGGTTTTAAGGTCATAATAAGTAGAAATGTTGTGTTCAATGAAGTTGATTTTCCTTGCTTATTGAAAAATGTGACTCACCTTGAACTGAGCTCTGATGGCACCACTCCCGGTGAGGTGGAGCCTATCCAGACTACTGTTGCCCGGCCCCTCTGTTTGATGAGTTTGAATCTTCTGATACTCATGACCTGACCAACACTTTGCATGTCACCCCTCCACCTCCAGTGAGGTGGAGCAACCAACTGGGTTTAATAATCATGATGAAAATGTGCATGATGTGTTTGATGGAGATGATTCTACTGATAACAACGATTTTCATGAAATGAATACTGAGAATCAGAATCTAGATAACTACCAGTTAGCTAGAGACAGGACTAAGAGAAATATAAGGAAGGTTTCTGATAGCATGGCTGACTTTGCTTTTCATATGCATGATACTTCCTTATTTGCATTCTCTATTTTTGAAACTCTTGAGTTGAATGAACCTAAAACCTATCGGGAAGCCCTTGCCTCTAGAGAATCTAAAAATTCACTTAGTGTTATGCAAAGTGAAATAGATTCCCTTAAGTTGAATAAAACTTGGACCCTAGTTCCTAGGACTCCTAATTGTTCTGTTGTTGAGTGCAAATGGCTTTTCAAAGTTAAAGAGGAACCTAATAACATTAGGTTTAAGGCCAGACTAGTAGCTAAGGGTTTCACTCAAAAGGAAGGGTAGACTATGCTGAAATTTTTGCTCCAGTAGTAAAATTCACTACAATTAGGATGATGCTTGCCCTAGTTGCCCATAATAACTGGGAGATGAAATAAATGGATGTTACCACTGCCTTTCTTCATGGTGAATTAGATAAACAGATCTACATGACCCAACCTGAGGGTTTTGTGGACCCTAAGTATCCTGGACATGTTTGTCTACTTAGGAAGGCCCTCTATGGCCTGAAACAGTCTCCTAGACAGTGGAACATAAAATTTGACCAATGCATGACTTCCCTGAGTTTCAAAAGATCTGATTCTTATCACTGCTTGTATTTTAAGAATACTGCTTCTGTATCTGTTTTCTTGTTGATTTATGTTGATGACATGCTTATCATTAGCCCCTCTGTGAATGCTATTAAGATTGTTCAAAAATGCCTTTGGGAAAACTTTGCTATGAAAGACCTTGGAGATGCTAAGAGAATCTTAGGGATTAATATAATCAAGGATATGAGTAGATGTACCCTTACCTTAAACCAAACCTCTTATTTAGATAACGTCTTGAAAAAGTTCAATCTTGACTCAGCCTAGCCTGTAGATGTCCCCTTAGCACCTCACTTGGTGCTAAGTAAGGATCAGTCCCCAAGGACTGCTCCTGATATAGATAGGATGAAATCTGTACCCTATTCCAGTGCTATAGGGTCAGTCATGTATCTCATGGTAAGCACAAGACCTGATATAGCTTATGCTGTTAGTTGCTTAAGTAGATATATGGCAAACCATGGTATGTCTCACTGAACTGCCCTTAAATGGCTTCTTAGATACCTTAAGGGTACACCATCCCATGGCTTTGTGTTTTCTAAAACTCCTACTGGTATTTTGCTTACTGGCTATGTTGACTCCAATTATGCGAATGATAGGAACTATAGAAAGTCTACTACTTCCTATATTTTTACTCTGTGTGGGTCCTGCAGAAGTTGGAAATCCCAACTGCAACCCATTGTTGCACTGTCCACTACTGAATCTGAATACGTGGCAGCCACTGAAGCCTTTAAAGAGGCCATTTGGCTGAAACGTTTACTAACGGAAATTGGGTTTCTTAAGCAGGTTGTGACAGTATACTGAGACAGCCAGTCTGCCATCCATTGTGTAAAAATCTTGTGTTTCATGACAGGACCAAACACATTGATGTTAGATTTCACTTTATCAGGGACATTGTTGACAAAGGAGAAGTGAATCTATGCAAGATTGCATCAGAATTCAATCCTGCTGATATGGGGACTTAATGTCTCAATTTTGAAAAACTTTTATCTTGTAAACGAACACTTAATTTGGACTGTGTCTAGATAAGAACAGGTGCAAAACCGGCGATGATAATTCTCCCTTTCACGTTGTGCTCTACACCACCAGGGGGACCAATAAGGTGGAGATTGTTGTTGGTATTGGTCCACCTCACACCGCCTAGGCCATCCCATATTTAATGTTCTTGGTCCACCTCATTTAAGGAGTTTGTCTCCTATTTAATGCCCTGGCCCAATTGGGCTGTCTGCCCGACCAAGCCCATTTGCTCCTAATTTGTTCCTACCCAGCCCGTGACTTATGGTGGCCCTTTGATATATTTGTCTGGTTGCTTCTCGATCCCTCTATTTGTTCCGTTCCTCCTCTCTAAACTATGAGCCTCTCAGTCTGTTACCCTAGACCTAGAGTGGGAGAGTACCAGTCTCACCTGAGCTTTAGCTCCGGCCATACTCCGGTGACACTTTGGGGTTCCTTTGGGGGATCTTCACTCTGGTTTGGTTGTGTGGTGGGTTTCTTCTCCGGTGGGGCTTCTGGGTTGGGGCTTGGGTTCTGTGAGTGAGGATAGTCGATTGTTGCCCTTCAGTTTCCCTTTTTGTAACCTTGGTGGTGAATGTAAGCAAGCTCTTGGACTATGGTGATTGAGGTCTGAGCCGGTCCTGAATCTCAACAAGTTGTTATTGGGAACATCTGGGGTTATTTTTGTAATGTGTAAAAGTATGAATTAATGGCATTCTTTCTTTAAGAATTTAAGACGGAGGGATAAGTTAATTGATTTTGCTAGCACAGATAAACCATGTCGGGGAGGCATAAGTCAACATTTGAGTTGCATGAGTTATTTGTTGTAAACGTATGGATTATATACGCAGTCAATTTCACTATATTAAGACAGAGGGATAAGTTAATCTTGGCTAGCATGATAATACGTAAAAATATGGGTTATGGTGTTCATTTGGCCATCCAAATTGGGAGACAATTCAATCATTATAACAATCTCATTTCTCCCAAATAGCTCTGTTCACACTCACTCTAGAACTCATATACCTTAGCTTTATCCATTATTAAGAATAATGGCCGCTAATGAAGAGGCTTAATTAGGTTGAATAAGAATATGTGGTAATGTTTACGGCCGCTAGGTTAATTTGGAGAATAGTATGTCATGTATGTGTTACAAGATTCTTCCTTCGTTTTTTATGTATTTGAAGATTTCCATTTCCTAACTTTTCTTCCCCCGGCTAGATGAATAGGTTTCTCTTTTTAGTGAGATTAATGTGAAAAACCACTTTATGAAAAGGAATATTTTCAAAATTTCAATTGCACACATCAACATTACTACATGCATTTGTAAAGTGTAAAGTCAAAAATTCCCCAAGTCCATCAAACTATATAAGCACTTATGAGGTTCAAAAAGTGCATCTAAATGTCATGACGTACTTGTTGTGAATAAACATGTATAAAATATCTTAGAAGTACAAATGTGACTATAGAATAAAAAAAGATTTATTGTTTTAATATATTTGGGTATCTATGTATATATTTACGTGCATATTTAATCATTACGAAAAATTAAACATTAACTTACATATGGACAAAGTCATACTCCCTCCGTTTCTAAAAGAAACTTACACTTTCCTTTTTGAGGTGTTTCAAAAACAAATTAAAGTCACACTTCCCTTATTTCCTTATTTGGCAAAGAAATCTACATCCAAACCGTGCGAAACAGTGCCAAACAGTGTCCAAACAGTGTCAAACAGTGTCTAAACAGTGTTTTCTACAGTAAAGTCAATTTATTTCCTTAATAATTGTGAAGTCAAACCGTGACTTTCTTTTGGAAACGGAGGGAGTATTTCTGTAGATACAAGTGTACGGGTGCTCTATCAATGTTCACTTATATATTTATCCTACATGGCACTGAACTTTTTTTATTAGCAGAAGACACCATATAAAAGGAGAATAGTACATTTGGATGAAAATTTATTGTTCTCTCATGAGATACTCTTATTTGTTTAAGTTTGATCGGGTTTATTTAACATGTCTGTTTACATCTATTCGTGATTGGGTTGATTTAGTATTTTATGTATTTTATCATTGTCTTAGTGTGACTAGTTTGATTGATCTAATCTATTTGAATATGATCAAGTGTAGCCTTAGATTGAAATAAGTAGAAATGAACATGTCTTTTTTTTTAACCCGGTAAGGAAACCACCAAAATACGATGTTTTATGATTATGACGTAAGTACATACCATGTATTAAAGCTAGCATTAGAGTATGTTTAGTACGGAGTAGTTGATTAGTTCGTGTGGGCCAATTTTATACAAGCAAATACAACAATATATGAGAAGCATGAATTAGCTTGCAGCAACTGGTTTGAATTCTATGTCATCATTAGCTTGTTTTAGTTCTCTCTCAAGCCTTCCATTGCCCAAGGTCACCTTTTCATCAAGCCAGTTGACGATGTCGGAAAACACGACGTCCAAATTCTCCGGCAGCTCGCCATAGGTTAGCGAATGCCACAATCCTGGGTACAACTTGAGGGTCTTGTCTGTGCTTGAAGCCGTTTCATACAAGAGTTTGCTCACCGCCGGATCTGTTACAATGTCTGCTTCTCCATGTGCAACTATAAATGGCAACTTCACCTGTTGATCCAAAGTGTTTCCTTAAATTTAATTAATATTACTCCTTCAATTAAATATTACGCAAATATACTTTATTCATAAAAATAACAAAAATGTTACTTGTACACGTCCGCTTACAAACCAAGTGTATTTTATTTGCGCACAGACAATTGATTTTCATTTTAGTAAATGAAACTGTCTGTGACTCCGAACTGTTTATGGACAGACAATTTATCTTTTCAGGGTCACACACAATTTACTACGATGAAATTCGATTGTTTGTGCACAGATTAAAGATATTTGGCGTGTTAGCGGCCATGTAAACCTACGTGTACAAGTAGCATTTTTGTAAAATATACTACGTATATAGTAATAAAGTTACTACTTTCACAATGGTTGTAGTATAAAAGTGAATTGGATCGTGTGGTAACTAAGGATGGGAGTTGAACCTAATATTACCTCATTAAGCCTTTTCTCCAAGTCCATGCTAACAGCGAGGAGTTCATTCCCGGTTTTCAAGCGCGGTCGGCCCTTGTAGCAATACGGGTTCGCCCTGATCTGCACATATGCCCGGATCCATATGAATATATATGATTGCCGTAAAAATGACCACCAAATTAACGGTTTACGGTGCTTGACTGACGATAAAACAACTTAATTACTGTTCACACTCTGATTATTTTTAGTAAATAAAATTAACATATTCAGAAACTACATTAAAACCGCTACAAAGCCTGATAAAAAAATGTAAATTTGATTAAAATTTGATTTATAAAGTAAAAGATTAAAAATGATTTAACTTGACCATGTGAATAGTGGACGGGAACCTTCTAATGGGACGGAGGTAGTACATGATATATTATTGAAATGCCTTGCCTAAATATTTAAGGCTTTTTGGCGTGGATATTACTAAAAACAGGATAAAAGATAAAAAAGTGATTTGTTTTTAAAAATTCTAAAAATGTGGCCAACATCACAATTAACTCAGCAGTGCAAAGTGACTCCGACCAAAGTGACACCACCGTCACAGTGACTGGCTGACTGCCCACCGGCCACAGTGACTGCCCCACCGGCCACAGTGGATGTCCCACCGGCCATACTGACTGCCCACCTGCCACAGTGACAGTCCAACTTCGATCATAGTGACACGTACATAGGGATGGACTAAACCGGGCTGGCCCGGCCCGCTACTGTGCGGGCCCGGACCGGACCGGGACCGGTTGGCCGGTTCCGGGCTTTTAGACCGTTTGGGCGGGCCGGGTCGGGCTCGGGCCCAACTTTTGTTGAACCGGCTCGGGCGGTTCAGGTCAGACCCGGTTCAATTTTTTTTTGTTTTTTCAATTTTTTTCTTTTCCTAGGGTAGGGTTGAGTGTTTTGGGGAGGTTTGGGGGGTAGGGGGTGAGGGGGGGTCGGGGGATAACAAGAAAGGCCAAAAAAATCATGGAACTGGGCCCGCCCCGGACTGGTTAGGCCCGGACCCGGTATCACCCCGGGCCGGTTCCGGGCCCAAGTAATTGCAAAAAAGCCCGCCCGGTCCGGAACCGGAATCGGACCGGCCCGGGTCCATCACTAGTGACACGCCGTCTCCGGTGTCCCCTGCCCCATCCCTCCCCTACTCCCTCAGCCATGTCCCTACCCCCGCCCTAGCACCACCGCCTACCATCACCGCAGACCGCCGCCACCGACCACCGCCCCACCCCAGTCAACTCCCTAGCCCCAAGCCAACTCCGATCCCCATCCCCCAAAGCCCCCTCCCCAGCCCTGTCCCTCCCCTACTCCTCCCAGCACCCTCAGCCCCGTCCCTAGCCAACCCCTTCAATTCCTAGCGTCGACGCTGATCATCACCGTGGACCGCCGCACCGACCACCGCCTCATTCGTGACTCGACTCACCAATCCCTCCCTAGTCCCCAGCCTCTTCCGCAGCCCCTCCCAGCCCCCCTCGGTCACTGCTACCCCCAAAGTCGGTCTTGCTCTGTGTCCGACCAAGTATGGCCTTCTCCAAGCGCCCCACAGTTGCCTCACGCCATCCTAATCGTTCTCCATGGCTTCGGTTCACAGTGAAATCAACAGATCTGCGTCGGACTTCTAGATCTAGATCCATCGTCCTGCTTCATCATCCTCAAAATCCAATAGATGTGGCCACGCCGTCGCTCACCACACCTCATTATCACCCGCCGCCTGCGTTCGCCACTCATGAATCTGGAGTATTTCAACAGTTCAACCGCCATCCATGGAGAAATGAGAAGAGAGGAAGAAAGGAGAAAAATGGCGAACCTATGCAGTCGGTGACGTGGATGCGGCGGAAATTAAGGTGGACCGTTGGTGGTGTGGATGCGGTGGAGGCGGAGGTGGAGGGCCGACGACCGTTGGCCTGGGGAGAGGCACAGTGTCGAGAGAATGGGAGAGACGCAGCGAACGAAGGAAAAGAGGGTGGGTGACGGGTCTCATTTTTGTCCAAATAAAAATGAGTCATATTTTTGTGCATTAAAACTCTAGTGGTAATATTTGGGCCATTTTTTCAATATTTAAATGACATGGATTTAATGATTTAATTACTTGCATGATCTAGAATATAACACGAAGTACTATCATATACTTCGTACATAGTAGATCAGATGACGACTCACGTGTACGGGGTATAATTTATAAACAAGATATCCTTTTTTATCTTGCACTGTTCTTCAAACTCCATAAAAGAACAGAAGCTAAATTTGATAATTTTTCCTCTTTTGCAATTAATTTTTTCCCTTTTTATATTATAACGTTTTGTTCTTTCACGTAGGAGATAGGGAGTGCAAAGTATATAAACAAATATTATCATCAAAGCAAATCTTACTCCCTCCGTCCCAAAAAGGTTCGCCAAATTGACTTTTCTATGTCAATGACATTCAACTTTTACTAATGATATTTTTAGTATGAAATTATTTTCAATATGAAAATTATATCAAAATGTTTCTTATTCAAAATATTTTCATTAAAGTATAAAATTTATAAATTATTATATACAAATATAATAATTAGAATCATTGTCCAAAGTTTGTAATCATTGACTAAGAAAAGTCAATCAAACCTTTTGGGGACTGAGGTAGCATTTATGTTGAGCAGTTCTATTATATCTCTTTCTCAGATGCTAACAGTGTACACAAACATTTCGTTTAGAATTGTTGAATACGTTTGTTTTGTTGATGACTAACCATACAGGGGAACAGCGGATAGAACCGCTCACAGTTCCTTGAGTAACAGGAACGAATAGATATTATTAATTTGATTGACTAACCATGCAGGAGAAACTAAAACACAATCCGTGATATGATTTGAGTTAATACGGATTATACCTACTTGTTCTTTTATTGCTATGATTTCCTATATATAAGTAATTATTCTCTTTCCACAATTGATATAGCTTAAGTATGGTACGTAAAATATTCCATAGCTACACGGTTGTGACTGAATAAAAGCTGGTTGAAATATATTCCATATCTAAATGAGTTGATTGCTTATATTGAGAAAAATATTCTTACCTTCTTGAATATTGACCAAAGCCTACCTTATTCGGTAATTAATTGATTGATTCAAAGATGCACGAGATATTTGTATCTAGTCTTAGTCCAGGGCCGATATATATGATGGTTAATCTGACTGCCTTAAAGATTGAGCTCGAATATGGGAAGTATTATAAAGAAGGAAAGCAATTCAAAATATTGGAGCAAGTCCCAAGATTAGAAGATCAACTATTCAAGGAAGGATGCTTAAACGGTCTGCCCAAGACAGCCTATATAAACGAAGAAGCCAAAGAGAAATGGGTGTGCTTGACCAAGCTTCTATTGAGATATATACACTAGAATATTTACCAAGTCCAAGGCACCTGAACCTGCTCACGGAGTTTCAGACTGAGTTTCCTTTTCTTTCTTCTTATTGTAATTGGGGTTTTGAGGATTGGCTAAGTGTAGCATCCTCGGGTCGGTTTGTGTGTTGTAAGAGCTTTGTTGTAAAGCTGAGAGGCTCTCTACCCGCAAGGTAGAGATGCATAACTCTTCCTAGAGAGGATAGAGTTGGGGTGGCTCAAGGGTAGACTAGAAGAGTTTCCCTTGTAATCATTCAAAGGCTTTTTAGTGAAGATGTTCAAATTCCTCCGAGGGAGGTCGAGGTTTTTTAATCCCTTTGAGCCAAGGGATTTTTCCTCGTTAAATCCTTGTGCACTTTATTATTTCGTAATTCCCTAGACCCCACACTAGAACTGTGCGAAAAACTGCCACGGTTCCACACACACAATTCACCCCCCCTCTTGTGTTGCTAACCGTTTCATCAAGAATAAACAACAATTGCGTGTCTACACAGGCGAGTGTAAAATATACAAAAAATGTGAACAACTCCTAATTACCTGTGTAGATAGACAACTGGTTTAGAAAAAGATAACAATTGTAGTATTTAACATGATTTGGTGAGGCATAGCCTTTTAAATGTTATAAGCCTTTTTTCGTAGTATATTGGCAATTTGGTTGGACAGTTACAGTATTCCGAGGGGAAAATTAAGCAAAAGGGACATGCAGTTGACTCTGATCGATCTACAGAAATAAATATAAGAAGTACTACTAGACGTAGAAGGGAATGAAAAGAAAAGTCAGGATTATGGGACTGTTATATACGATAGTATATATAAGTATATACATACCTCATTCCTAACATTTGGGTCTCTAAAGGCAGCTGCAACAATATCTTGGGTTGGGATAAGTTTCCACGTCGGGATGACCTTGCACAGTTGGTTTAGCACACTAATCACCATCGGATTTGGCTTTATCTCATCACCAATCTGCATCTCCAATAATATATCGATCATTTGCTTAAAATTTTCATTACAAGCCATTTCTATCTACAATATTCAAAAACCAAATGTTCTTCTAACCGTACGTATTCAAAGAAAATTTAAGTTTTCTCACCCTAAATACTCAAGTAGCTAGTCAAGTTTAGGGGTAAAAAATACTGCGCGGAATAATTTCATTTACCCACTATATTATGACTTAATCTGCATGCCCTTATTCAAAAGCATGCACTTTTTGCTAGAAGATTAATTACTTATAAGATCGAGTTTAAAGAATTAACTCTACACCAAATTTGAAACCTGTGTGAAATTATGACCTAATTTTCAAGGATGGTGGTAAACTATGACCTAATTTTTCGTTATTCGAAAGCTAGTTATTAAGTACACATACCATTCAACATTTGACCTCGAAAGCAATTTATGTATTTAGTTAATTAATATGATGAAGACAGGTGATATATATTATCAATTACTCAGTCAAAACAAACAGTATATATATATATATATATATATATATATATATATATATATATATATATATATATATATATATATATATATATATATTTGGGACTGCCTCTATCGTTAAAAAACTCCTTGTTGTAATCTATCGAAAGTTCGATCTTATGATTTGTTTGACCAAACATGAGAAATATCAGATCATCATATAAAAATACATTTCACACGAATAATAGTCATCTTGCGGTTTTTAACGATCATTACGGAGTAATAATACAGTCCTAAGTTCGTTGAACCCCAATTAAGATAATATGTGACTAAATGTGATACGTCTCATATATACTTCAAGACAATTCAAAGATTATCCCAAATATTTGTAATTCAATCGATCATAAATTCGAGGTCAAAATCAATTAATTAATGAATTGATGCAACGTAACATTATAATGGTTCTAAAATTTTCCGCAATACTAACGCAAAACATATACGAAGTATATATGATGGTAACACATACCAAACATTAGGTCTTAATTCACAGGCCGGTAACACACCATATGTTGCAATACTTGAAAAATTAATTGATTGCCAAGTTGGTGCATCACTTTTAATTTCCCGAATGTCATTATTCTTTTATTATTATTTCCGTATTGTAACGATTATTTGTATTTATCCTTTCTGATCAGTGTATAATCAAAGTATATATTTTAATCGTATGTGGCAGCTATTCTATATTCTACATTTCTACATATATACATTTAAGATGGACTAATAATTTTATGGTATAGAGACTAACGTTGAACATTACGGTACTCATTCCGGAGTATTTTTTGCAATTTTGCGAGACCGAATTTTCTTGTTCAAACAGAAAATAACAATATTAATTGTAATTTGTTTATTTAGTTTGTTGAAAAATTGGATAAATGGCCCTTACATAAAATTACAATTGCAAAATGGATTTTACACTGATTCTGTGTTGATCTATGCTCTACGATAATTAACAGGGTTGGATTCGGTTCGGGCCACCCGGCCCGTGACCCGGCCCGTGACCCGGCCCGGCCCGGCACTGTGCGGGCCCGGGACCGGCCCGGTCGGGCGGTCCGGGACCGGGTATGGACCCGAACCGATGGGAAGGGGCGGGGCGGGCTCGGTTCAGGATTATTGTGACCCGGTCCCGGGTCCGGGCCTCTTTTTAAAAAAAAAAAAATTGGTTGGTTGGGCTACTATCCGTTGGGGGTGGGGCTGGGGACAACCCAAACGGCTATATAGCCGTTGGGTGGGGTAAAGGGGGGGTCCGGGAGGGTTGGCTGGTAGGAGGGGGGTGGGGGGTGGGGGGTAAAAAAACCTATAAATACTCCTAATCTTAAACATTTTTTCATATCTCTTCTCCAATTCTTCCTAAATCCTATTCTTAACTCTCTACTCTCTAATTCTCTTATTCTCCAATATATTATATATCTACTCTCTAATTCTCTTCTCCAAGAAGTTAAGATGGAAAATCAAGATGCCATTATACGGTATAATTTTGATAAGCAGAAGGACCCGAAGACCGGGATGTGGTACGCAATTTGCAAATGGTGCGAAAAAAAATGTATCATGGGGGCTTCAGGCGGATTCGGGATGACAATCAAGCATATGAAGTCATGTGACAAAGCCAAAGGATCGGGAGGTGCGGGAAGTTCCGATTGATTACAATTTTCAAAATGTTTATCTCTTAAAGTTTGTTTTAATTTTCAAATGTAGTTCCTATTTCATTTCAAATAAATGCAATTGAAGTTTGTTTTTAATACTCGTATAAAACTATAAACTATAAAATATAAATTATAAAAAAAAAAATTAACCGGCCCGGCCCGAATCGGACCCGACCCGTGACCCGGGCGGGTGGCCCGGCCCGAACCGGACCCGTCCAACCCTCGGGCCGGTCCCGGGCCCACTTTTCTTGAACCGGCGGCCCGACCGGGCCTAGGCCCGGCCCGAATCCATCCCTAACGATAAAACACAAGGAAATGGACTCCCCATTCATATAAAATATAAGATACGGACGCTAAGGTATTTTACAAATATTAAAAATATAATTAAGAACTTATGCATGTATTAATATGCTAAAAAATTGTTATCATACTTCCTGTATAAGTACACAAGAATACCTTATGTACATATATAAATTATTTTATGGCATGTTTTTCTGGACAACATATATTTATATTCATATTTATTTCCTATGGAACAATTAGAATCAATTCAATTAGAAGTAATTCTGCACTTTCAAATAAAAACCTAATTTCCGCTTCTGCTCTCTGAAGGACGTTTTAAAATGAAGATCCAAATACCTCCTTAATCTATCATCAAGTACATTAAATTCATTAATCTATAATATTCTTTATCATTTATCAAAAAGTTACTAAACTTTTATTTCCTTAAACGTTATATTTAGTTTTTATTTAATTACTACTATTTAAAGAGGAAATTCATTTTAGTTAGCATTTATTGGATTTAATTATTCTCCTTTGTTTCTTGTTTTAGGTTGATATAACTAAATTTACAAAAATAAAATTAGTACTTGTTATCACTAATTGATTTGTGTTTCTATATATGTCTATGCTAAAATTACTTGTTGTCATTTTCATGTACAAGTAGCATTTTTGTAATTATTTTGCTATATATGTAGAGTTTGTTATGGTAAAAATGTTTCCTTCCTTAAGAAATAAAAATGAAGTATTATACTCCGTAGTACACATTTCGATCAAGATACAATACATATATAATAGTAGGAAAAAAATATTTGAATCAAAATCTTCTCATCATTCAAAATCAGTACACATGGTTCAAATAAAAATGGACATTCACATTCGAAAAGAAAACGAATACGGAGTATCAGATTTTTAATTTAAAGGAGAAAACACGCCGAAAGCATTTTGGTATAAATAAACAAAATTCATCACCACATAATATTCTTTAATTTGAACGTGAAGATGCATTACGGTCTTTGGAAATGGATTAAAGTGCACGTGTGCATGTGTTTCCGTCACTTAAAATTATGCATTACTTTGAAAGTGGAGTTGTATTCGAACGCGTATAATTATATTACGGAGTAGAAATTATCCTAAAAACGTTTAGGAATTTCAAATCCTTGTTTTTATTCCCTAAATATGAATAAAAACTGCCATGTTTAAGACCTAGTTAATAACGTCAAATTTGGCAAAAAATACTCCTATTTATTTAAAGAATAACAACGTGACAGTCCCGTTTTGGAATTTCGAAACTTTTTTACTCCTATTTAGAGAATTTTCTCAGAGAATATTACCCGAAATATGACTTAAAAAGTTTGAAAATTTCAAAAAATGACTGTCATGTTTTTATTCCCAAAATAGGACTAATTACTGCCATGTTTTGGCGGTACCAGACTTCAAACATGACAATATTTTATAAACTTGGCAGTAATTACTCCTATTTTGGGAATAAAAAATGAGAGTACTATTTTGAAATTTTCAAACCGTTTTAGTCCTATTTCGGGAACTTTCCCTATATTTAATAGTAGTAAACAAAAGTTAAAGTGACTGACCTTACACATGGGAGCAACAAGGACAGCACCATCCCAGAAATGAGGTTGGTTTCTATGGAGGAGAAGAGCAAGAGCTCCTCCCATTGATTCTCCCAGCAACATCCTCATCTTTTTCTTGTTTTCTTTCCTCTCTGTTCATTCATACATACATCCTAGCTAGTCAAACCCCAAGACCCTCAAACTTAGCAAAACCCCATAAAGTTAGCCGTTAAATTAACAACGTATAGTAACTGCCGGCCGGCCGGCTTGAATTGCGATACAAATAAGTTATTTTTTAAACTATAATAATATTGTTAGATTATTATGGGTTCAACCAAGTCGTGTTTGCACGAATCAAAGTCGCCAGCTTGTTGCGACACGTTCTACGCTTGACCCGCCCCCTTATTTTACAGTTTCTACTAAATAAATTACTCCCTATATGTGCTAGTAAGTTTGTGATTGGGTTTTGAATCGTGTCCCTTAAAACTCTGTCATATCTGATTTTTCAAGTCAATGGTGGTAAAGTTTAGAACATGATTTTGATTAGTACTGTAGTATACCCCTCCGGTTCTCAAAGAGCTTCACAATTTGACTTCACACAGATTAAGAAAATAAATTTGACTTTACTGTGGAGTGCATTGTTTGACACTGTTTGACACTATTTTGCACTGTTTTGGTGTAGATAATTTGCCAAATAAGAAAATATGAAGAAGTGTGAAGTTAATTTCAGAACTTCTCGAAAAGGAAAGTGAGAAGTTGTTTGAGAACCGGAGGTAGTAATATTTTGGAAGTTATAAATTTATACTTTTATGAAAGTTTTTTATCACTGAATATTTTCATATCGTTTTTATATTATTATAAATATTTTCCTATAAAAATATATAATTGGTCAAGGTTGAACTTAATTGACTAAAAAATTCAAAGATGACGGAGTATTAAGGAACGTAACGGAGGGGATATTTATAAATTAGTTTAAATGAAGATGTCATAATTTTTTAGAACTAGGCAAGGAAATTGTCAAAATTTGGTCATTTGTTTGATATGATATGCATACCACAAATTTTGGAGTAATGATCAGAACAATCGTTAACAACATCATCAAAGCTGGGAACGTAACCCAGCAAACCAGCTGACTTCCCATGGCCTTCATAATCCATACCATAAACTGCATACCCTGCTTTCACAAGCCTTGTGGCAGCACCTATGTTTATATATATGTATATATTCATTATTAGTTACACATATTTATCAAATTTCATTATTTTCAACTCTTTCCAAAAAGGTACCCATAAACCAAAGCTCCCTTCGGGGTGATTCTGTAGGGCCGATAAATCCAAACTGACAACCAACCGACCAAAACTTTATCCAAGTCATATTTATTTGTACAAATCATATTTTGAAATCCAGAAAAGCTGATTATTAAGATTCTTTTGACAATTTAAACAGAAAAAAGAAATTATTTTAAATAGTGTAGTAAAACTATTTGTGAATTCCAGGATTGGGACAAAAGAAAAAAAAAATAGGCCCCTAATTATATACGGAGTACTACCTATCTTGTAAGAATGTATTACAAGAGTTTCATTACCAAAAATAAAATTAGTTACACATTTAAATGTTTTTACCCATAGAACTACTTTCCAACTCGGTAACCTAAGCCATACAAAATAATTTCTATGGGTTTTCAATGATTTATTAATAGAATTCCCGATTGAACTTTAAACTAAAATTTTGCGGACACAATCTACACTTAACGAAATATATACTCACAAAAGTTTTAAAAGAATTCCATCCGGAAGAACCTCTAATGGGTTTGTCCGTACTGAACTCCCAATCGGACACACCCGAAGTGTGTGAACGAGAGACAATATGTATATACTACTCCGTATTTAATAGGGTTGTTCTTTAAGTTTGGTTTTGATCACCTATTTACTAGTAAGTATTTCGAAATAAAAATATACGATAGTATTACTCATGTTCAGAATTTCAAAACGTTTTTACTTTCATAAAAAAAACCTTTTTAAAAAATCAAATTAGGCAAGTAGTAAATATGAGAATTGGGTTTATTATACAACAAACAAAACCAAAATCACAGAGTAACATTTAAATTCATAAATAGGTAATTTTTAAAGAAAACTCTGGATTAATAAACACCCTGTTTTTCCAAAGGTACACCACTTGGAATTTGGAGAAAACAAACCTCTCATTGAAACAGAGCATTCCATGGCATATCCATGGCAGAGAAAGATCAAAGCTTTAGGCTCAGATTGCCCAGGTAGCCATTTACACGTAAAGAGCTTCATTCCTCTCGAATTTAACACAAATTCCTGAATTACTCAAACGTTTTTTAGAACCTCATCAGTCAGCATTCAGCAATCATGTACGGAGTATATATAATTATTACCTTAAAATGTAAGAAATACTACTAGTATAATAACTTTTATAAGAGTCAAAGATTCTTAATTTTACACTTTTACCTCTTCATATGTTACACTGTTGTTTTCATCCTCCATAGCCTGTGCAGGAAAAGAACAGATTTTTTAAGAAGAATATGAATAAGAATAATAATATAATAACTAAATTGATGAGCAGAGAAGAAAGAAAAGAAAAGATCCAGGGATGGAAAAGAATGGGGAGTGTACCATTATAAAAGGGTTAAAGAAAATTTGGTGAGGATCAGATAATAAGAATGAGCTGAAGATTAAAAAATACTTCGTATGTATATTGTGTATAACTGAAACGTGAATGATATTCGGAAACGGATCAGATCAAAGCCAATATATGAGGAAGTTGTAAATAATATGATGAGAGAGAGGGTTGCAAATACTCGATCGCTACGAGATATTGGATGGTTTGCGATGAGTTATTGACGTTTTATAACCGTCTCAACAAATACAAATTTACTCGTTGGTCGGTTGAATCGGCTCCAATTAAAATGTTTTTACCGGAAAGCTCTTCGATTTCGGGAACATGTCAGACTTAAACAAATCAGATTAGAACCGAGTTTCATAATAATAAAATACACAGATATCAAACATTTAGCAGATCGAACAAGATTAATTCAAACCAGACTAAACCAGACCAACAAAGTTCAATCACACTAAGATTTTCCCGTTAAGATTTTCTCATCTTTCTTTTTCGATCTGTCTCACTAAGATTATCTCATATCAAATTTGGTAAAAATTATGTGCTTTTAAATGGGTAATTCACTAATTTGAGTTTGAACCACATTTTATTGTACAAATTGGACTTTGCACCCTGTTTTTAAAATTCTTTGTTTTTGCACCTCAACCCCATATGAAAAGACAAAAATGTCTCTCCATTAACAATTCTATTGGCCTTCAACGCATTCCTAATTGAGGGCTTTTTTGTCTTTTCATATGGAATTGCGGTGCAAAAACAAAGATTTTCAAAAACGCAATGCAAAGTCTAATTATGATAATAAAATGGGGTGCAAACTTAAATTACGCCTTAAATCATTACGGAGTATGACTTTATCAATTCAATATTAACCGGATAAACTTACTTTTCTTAATAATTGTACAACCTTCTCATGTCCCAATGTTAGTGGGACAAATATAGTATATAAAATACGGATTATATTTTATATGTAAGGAAAAATAGCTAAAATAATTCGCTTCATCAATTTCAACATATTCAGCTAGAAAGGTAACACTAGTGTTACAAAACTGAGTGCGCTAAATCAATCAAAAGTTACATGTTTGATAAGAATTTACTCATAAGACCGAAAAGTTCAAAATAATGTTACAGAAGAACAAATCAAGCTGAGAGCCTTTCCATTCTCACTGAAGGACACGGCTAAGGATGGGCTATTCTATCTTCCTTCAGGAAGCATAGATACATGGGCGGCAATGAAGAAATGCTTCCTCGAAAGGTACTATCCAGCCTCTGTCTCATCATGATATGCACTAATTAGTAGTGCATAAATGTTTGTTTTTATGTTTGATTTGTGTGGATTGTTTACCGTTTTAGTAATTTGAGAACATTTGTGTGATTTTAGTTGTAATTGTATTTTAATTCTCATTTGTAAGTTGTAAAGTAGAATTAGGAATTATGGTGTTGAAAGGAAGGACATTGAAGTGAAGAAAAAAGAATGTTGACTGTCCAGGAGCAAATACCCGACCGGGCATAAGACGTCACCCGGTCGGGTCTGATTCAACAACTGAAAGTGCCTGGAAAGTGCACTCACCCGGTCGGGTCCCCTACCCCACCCGATCGGGTCTGACTTGACCCGGGACACTTTAACATGCCGAAGATCACCGGAACGTGGAGGATATTTGATTTTGACATGCACCCGGTCGGGTGGGCACTTTACCCGGTCGGATACCCGGCCAAAGGTGTTGTAAAACACCTATAAATAGCCCCATTTTCCTTCACTTTTAATCATTCCTTCTTCCATACTCTTAAGCTCAGTTTAGAATAGCATTTCTTTATATTTTTCTAGCTATGTTTAGTCTCCAAATGAGGAGCTAAACTTCCATTCTTGGTGTTGCTCTTGAAGCTTGTTGATTATTAAAGTTGTGAGTTATTTTCTTAACTTCTTTCCTTGAATATTAATTAATAGTTCTTTCCTTAATACCATCTCTATATTAATGTTGGGGAGTGTTGCTAAGATGACAATTAGTTAACATCTCGACATTAGTTAGAATGGTATTTTCTTCCTCTATATTAATGTTGGGGAGTGGTTCTAAGATGACAATTAGTTAACATCTTGATATTAATTATAGTAGGATTCATCTTCTTTAATAATATTCTTCCTTGAATATTAATTAATTCCTACTCATATTTCATATTAATATTTTGAACATTACTTAAAGGATCAACTAGTTTTGTTTCATATATTAATTATTACTAGAAACGATCAACGAACCGATGGTTAATCGTTGATGGTTTCACAAGTAAGTAACTTCGGTTTATTAATGCACGGTCGTGGTTAATAAACTTAAGAGGGATTAATTTTGTTGGTTAAACCGAAACCGTTGTGTTGAGGTTATCAATCTCAATTGATTTCATCAAGGAGTTAGAAAGATTAAATGCTACTATTAAATCGGTATAAGACGTTGTTCTATATTTGATTAATAGTAAGGGTTATTAATGAACGGTTGTTGTTAATAACTATCCTCGATGAAGTGGATATACTCCCCGATTGAGTATTCGAGAGGGAATAAGTTATAGATATAACAATGATCGACTAAAATATATCAACAAGTGGAAAGTAGCAATGCCAAGTCCTTTTTATCTTGGAATTAAACACATTTTAGTTCTTAATTAAATTAAATCACTCAATCCAAATCCTCCCTTTTATTTACTAAGTTTCATAAAAAGAGAATTATTCCTTTCCCTGTGGATACGAACTCTACTACGTTATACTACGTATAAGTGTTAGTATTGAAAATTATTTTGATGCACCGTGACAAAGTGCTTGTCAAATTTGGCGCCGTTGTCGGGGAAAGGCAATTAATTTTTCTTTTTATTCTACTTTAAGAAAAAAAAATTAAATAAATAAAATATAAAGAGTTCTTAGATTTCTATTCTTCTGAGCTTTATTTGAGTATATGGTTAAACACCGATCTATAAACCAAATCACCTACCAAACAAAGCCCGAAACAGAACAAGCCTTCGAGAGGTTTAAGGATTTATTTCCGAATACTTATTCGGAGGAATCATCAAGTGCTAGTTCTCATTCTAGCGACACCGAAGAGCCAATCAATATGGCTCTTGAAACAAGAACGTTGAGGGAGCTCACGGCTCTGAATCTAAATCAACAACCCTTATGTATCACTTTTCCAACTCTTGATACGGGGGTCGCATTCGAGATAAAATCTGGGCTCATTCATCTACTTTCCTCTTTCCATGGCCTACGAGGGGAAGATCCGAACAAACACTTGTCAGAGTTCCATATTATGTGCACAAGCATGTGCCCCAATGGCTTGTCCGAGGAGCAAATCAAGCTGAGAGCCTTCCCATTCTCCCTCAAAGACACCGCCTAAGATTGACTATTCTATCTTCCCTCGGGGAGCATCAATACATGGGCTCAAATGAAAAAGAGCTTCCTTGACAGGTACTATCCCGCATCTATCTCTTCAAGTCTCAAGAAACAAATCAGCAACATTGAGCAAGCAGATAATGAGACCTTGTATGAATATTGGGAGCGCTTTAAAAAATTATGTGCTAGTTGCCCATATCATGGGTATTCGGAACAAGATCTCATCCTCTACTTCTATGATGGACTTGTTGATCAAGATAGACACATGGTGAATGCGGCATGCGGAGGGGGTATTGTTAACAAAACCCCTTCTCAAGCAAGAGACCTCATTTCGGAGTTGGCCGAAAACTCGAGACATTACAACAGAAGGTCATCATCGAAACGAGTCATGGCAGCGGAATCCAACAATTCGTTAGAAAGTCAAGTGGCCGGCTTGACTTCTTTGGTTAAAGATTTTCTCTTAAATCCGAAAACCCAAGAAGCCAAGGTCTGCGGCATATGTTCAACACAGGGGCATCCCACTGATTCCTGCCCAGCGCTACAAGAAGAGAACTCCGAGCAAGTCAATGCTTTGGGGTTCCAAGGTCAAAGGAGGTACGATCCTCAAGGCAATACTTACAACCCGGGATTGAGGGATCATCCGAATTTGAGGTACGGAAATTCTCAAACAAATCCTTCTCCTCAACAATATAAACAACAAGGTCAACCATCGAACTCGAGTATGTCCACCGAAGACATGATTCGAGCACTGGCCGTTAATATGGGAACAATGCACCAAAGCATGGAGCAATTTCAACAAACCATGATGCAATTCCAACATGAAACCAGGTCGAGCAATCAAAATTTGGAAACTCAAGTTAGCCAAATTTCGAGTGTCGTAAGTCGACTCGAGGAAAAAGATTCGGGTAGGCTCCCCTCCCAAACTGAGCAAAACCCAAGACAACATGTCAATGCAATCATGTTGAGGAGCGGTAAAGAATTGCAAGCACGGGAAGATAAGGAGGAGAAGCAAGAGGTTGATCTTGGAGAAGGTTTCCAACCGCAAGAGGGGGAGCCAACGAAAACTAAATTCCCTCCACTGTCATTATATGAATCACTCCCTCCTTCCCTGAGGCATTGAAAGACATGATGAAGTTGAAGAATGATCGGGACATCTACGAAACCTTCGTCGACTCTGAGGTAAACATCCCACTCTTCAAACTGATCAAAAGTGTTCCCCGTTATGCAAAGTTCTTAAAGGAACTATGCACAATGAAAAAGAAAAATAAACTGGAAGGGAAACAAAAGGTTGAAGTTAGTGAACGTGTCTCGGACATTTTTAAAAAGAAACCCCCTGAGAAATGTAGCGATCCAGGCATGTTCACTATTCCTTGCAAAATAGGGGATACCTTATTTTCTAAGGCCTTGTTGGATTTAGGAGCGTCAATAAATGTCATTCCTTATTCCTTATATAAATCCTTACAACTCGGCCCACTACATAAAACTGGTGTAGTGATTCAACTAGCGGATGAGTCTAATATTTACCCGAAGGGTGTAGTAGAAGATGTGCTAGTAGAAGTAGAAAATTTGGTTTTCCCTGTTGATTTTTATGTTCCGAAAATGGGAGATGATAACCAAACTACACCCATCCTCTTGGGTAGACCTTTTCTAAAAACGCAAAAACAAAAATAGACGTGTCTAATGGTTCGTTAACTTTAGAGTTTGATGATCAAAAGGTAGAATTCAACATTTTTGATTCTACGAAAAAACAAATTAAAGACCAATCTCTTTGTTCTCTAAATGTTTGTGAACCACAAACCCTGAATTTTTTTGTTGAAAAAAGAAGAAGAGAAAATCACACTTTTTGAAAAAGA